TGATCTCCCCTTGGTTAAGGGGAGGGGTTGCGATGTCAAAATGCCTTACCAAGAAACCGGCAAAAAATGAAATAAATAAACCATTGATACAATGTAGCAAATAAATAATAACACGGTTAGTAATGTAAACTAAATTACCAGATTGTTCACGCAGCCTCATATTATACTGATGGAAAAGAATTTTCCACAAATCAACAAACAGGTAAGACTGTCTAAAAGTGAAATAATATAATGCTGCTCAGTAGAAAACAAAACATGAACATCCTGGGCAGGTATGTTAACAAAAAATAAAAATAATAAGGATGAAATAAATAATCAAATAATAATCAAAGAGAGTCAAATCAAATAAAGGTTATATACCCTCATTTATGTGTTTTTTAACAGTAGGAGGTATTCTTTGAATGGTCAGGGTAGCCCCCTCCCCTTTTCCTTGGGGATTAGACCTCCCTCTCTATTCTTTCTTGTCGTTTTTTTTAGTCTATGTAACTATAAACACTGATCAACTACAACATTAAAATCACTGACCGGTGAAGTCAATAACTGATTATATCGCTACAATAGCATCTGTCAACTGTCAAGGAATGGGATGTATTAGGCGGCAAGTGAACAGTCAGTTCTTTAATTTCATGTGTTTGATGCAGGAAAAATGGGCAAGCCAAAAGATCTGAGTGACTCTGACAAGGGCCAAATAGTGATGGCTAGACAGCTGAGCAACTCCAACATGACAAGTCTTGCGTGGTGTTCCTGCTATGCAGCGGTTGGTATATACCAAAGTGATGCAAGGAAGGACAACTTGTGAAGTGGTGTCAGTGTCAGGGGCACCAAAGGCTCATTGATGCTCATTGACAAAGGCTCTTCCGTCTAGTACGATCACACAGAACAGCTACTGTAGCTTAAACTGCTGAGAGATGTAATGCTGGTCAAAATAGAAAGCTGTCAGAACACACAGTGCATCGCAGTTTGCTGTGTAGCCTCAAACTAGAGTGCCTATGATGACCCCTGTCCACTGGTGAAAGTTCCTACAAAGGGGAAGTGAGCGTGAAAATTTGTCCATGGAGCAATAGAAGAAGGTTGCCTGGTTTGATGAATCACAGTTTCTTTAAGATCAGGTTGTAGGCCGGGTGTGTGCATCATTTATCTAGGGAAGAGATGGGAGCAGGATGCACTATGGGAAGAAGGCAGACCGGCGGAGACAGTGTTATGGTCTGGGCCATGTTCTGCTTGGAAACCTTGCATCCTGGCATTCATGTGGATGTTACACACACCACTTACCTAGAGATTGTTGCAGATCACATATATCCCTTCATGGCAATGGTGTTCCCTGATGGCTGTGACCTCTTTCAGACGGATAATGCACCCTGCCACACTAACAAAAATTGTTCAGGAATGGTTTACAGAACATGAAAAAACAGTTCAAAGTGTAGCCTTGGTCTCTAAATTCCCCAGATTTCAATCAGACTGAGCATCTGTGGGATGTGTTGGAACAACAAATCCGATACATGGAGGTCCCACCACGCAACTTGCAGGACTTAGAGGATCTGCTGCTAATGACTTGGTGCCAGATAGCACAGGACACGTTTAGATATCTTATGGAGTCTATGCGTCAACACATCAGAGCTGTTTTGGCAGCACAATAGAGACCAACACGATATTAAGCTGGGGGCTTTAATGTTGTGGCTGATCGGCGCATAGTGATCCTTTTCGGAAAGCCACTCATATTTCTTCATTTATGCCCCTTGTCATTCTTTGCAGACCACCACATATGATACACTGCAAAACAGTTTACAGATACGGTCCCTTTAAATCTGAATGCTTACATAGCAAATGTTTCACTACACTGGAAAACATCACATCCTGCTTTCCACGGTTTTCTATTCAAAACAGACCAGTACAAAAAATAGCTGGAAATGCTAACTTTTACAAACATTGCCACAAACAATGAGAATAATGTACCAACTGTATTTATAATGGACTATGTAACTTTAAATAAAGACCAGGAAGAGGGTTTCGAGATAATGGCAAACACAACTGGAAGGAGATTTTGGCTCCAAGGCTACATCAGTCAAGAACATGCAACTATCTTTTAAAACTTGGCAGGTACACCCTGCAGCAAATTACCCTGATTCAGCGGAGTTTAAACAGAAATACAATTCTACGCAATCTTGTTCATTTATCCCCAAGCAGAAAATACGCATTCGGAGCCAGGAAAAGGTTAAATGACGAGCTGACTCTCTTGTTTACAAGATCTGAGTTTATTTAAAGTAAATCTGGAGGAGTTTAGAGATCACATGACTTGGGACTGAACTAAACTCCAAATTCTTGTTTTAAAACAGCTGGGATGCTTTCTTCTCTGAAGGTTAACTGCTATGCCTGCCAGCGTTACAGATCGTTTTGTGAAAACTAGTAAATGATTATGTGCCTGTATCATGTCCAGAAATGGGGTTCCTCTTTTAAAAAGTAAATGCTTCTTTTAGAAGATACTTGGTCATTTAATCTATAGCATTCCCATCAGTCAAGATTTAAAAGGTGTGAGAAAGTTGCAACTATCTTTACTACAATTAAGCTATTTTCTAGACCGAAAACTATTGTTTTATTAAAGCAACCAATAAAAATAATAAAAAAAAAAATGTAACATTATTTTAAAGCTTTTTCCTTTTGTTCACACTCCCAGACATTACAACATCTCCATGAAGTTCGCTAGCTAATCGGGATTCTCTTATTCTAGTAAGTGGAGTTTAAACTTCTTGCTTGTTTAAAGAACTCTTGAAGCACCATAATCAATACAGTATTCCGTAGTGGTTATGGTACTAGGAGTTCCTTGCCGTGCCCTCCAATGTAAGTAGACAAACTATTTGTCAAATGGCTTGCCAACTTACTTCGGGTCCGCCGATGTTGGTCATCTCTTCTATTGAACGGTAGAAGCTCTAGGCGTTGAGCTAGCCCAGCGGTACGGTGATTAGCCCAGTATAAGGGGGTTCCAGCTATCAATGGATTAAGTAGATGCAAATCCGTGAATGCAAGGTAAATTGGTACGCTGTAGTGGTTATGGTGTTTGGAAAATGTATTTCACCCAGCACTGCAAGGTTTAAAGCATGGAGGTTAGGAGCTAATTAGCAGATTAGAAAGCACACCTTACCCTAATTAACTTTCTATGGAAAATGTTGGGTTTTATTTTGATTTGTAGCAATCCAGTCAAATTAGCCTCGAGTACATGGGTAACAGCATGGAGTACAATCCTAAAATCTCAACTACCGATATCGAAGACAAGGTTTGGATCTAGGAATTATGACTAAATGCCGTAACATTCTATTATACAAAGATTTAAAAAGAAAAGTATAATCATTGGAAGTTTATTTGCTTTAGCAATCATTTTTGAAAGGCAATGATATCCATATGAGATGCAGATCAAACCTGTCTGAAAATGATAAATGTGGGATTATTGCGGCCATACTGCATAGGACAGCATGAGCGCACGAGCAGAGCACGTCTGTCCGTCTGATGGAACTCTTGCAGCACTGTTTACATTGCCAGCCCTCGTTCGTTGTTCGTTGTACAACTGCCTATCAAATTGGAGAGCATTCTTTCCCAACTGCCAAGTCACTGTCATGCACCCTTTCCTCCTCATCCCAATTCCTTTCCTCCCACTATTGGTGCTGACCACTTTTATATAAACTTTGTTGAGTGTTTTGTTTAGATTTTTTTACAATTTTGGTATAATGTTCAAATCTCCACTCAAGTTTTTTAATTTCATGACACATCATAAGTTTTTTTTTGTTTTTTTAAACCAGCCAAGATTGTCTACAAACGAGAAAAAAAAAGTTTTTTCATTTTGCTGAAATGCCTATATATATATAGTGTGAGTGTAACGGGGATTGATTTGTTAGAAATATAAATTGGCTCCATCATGGTTTTATTATAAACTATATTCTTTTAATTTAAAGTAGAGATAAAGTCTTTTTACATAAATGTTCAAAGGAAACCATATGTTAGAACAGGCACTTTTTTTTTTTTTTTTAATTCATCACAGTAACGATGTATCGAACCACAAAATCACTTAATTACTCGAGTCAAATGTTATTCCAGAGCACAGATTTATAGCTTGAACAATTAAACTATTTCCTAGCACAGCCAATACTCTCAAGGTATGCCAGGAAACTGGGTTTTCTGATTAAGCTCTATGGTGGGATTAGTAATTTGTTTTTGGTTTCCAAAATATGGTACATTTTGATGACAGAGCAACTATCCACTATCTTACAAAACTTACCGTTCAAATAATGTCCACAGTATTAATATCGACCACACAAACTGGTCATCCCCACACTGTTTTCTTCCCATTTACTAAAGAATGGCCTTAAGCTGGCATTAGTACACCCCTGTGCCATGCTCATCCTTCTGCCAGTAAAGGTAAAAAAAACTAGTGCTATTAATGCTCAAACAGAATTCTCAAAGAATGTCACTATGCAGGTGCCTTATCTTAATTGTGTCTAGTCTGTATTTGATTTGCTTGCAGTATTTGCCAAGTAATATGCTCAAGGTTGTGATTTTTTTATTTGCTGTAAATGTTTTACCATGGATAGCCCCGAACCATAAAAATAGTTTAATATATCAGCTTTTATCATGTGTCAACTTCCTACTCCTACAAAAGGTGTGTATATATATATTCAGTGAAATGTGATTTTTTTTTAAATGTGTGCATAATGTTTCTGCATTTTGATTGCATGTTATGTATTCACCATTTTACAGACAGTACTGTACAATAGTGATTAGAAACATTTTACTCCATCGAAACAGACTATAGTTGCTTTAGTTAGAGCATTACCATTTGTTTATTTATCATACAAATCCCCCATTTGTATTTCAGATAAGAACACCAATTAGGTATTTTTAAAGGGACAATGTAGGCACCCAGACCACTTCAGATCAATGCAGTGTCTATGTCCCCCTTAGTCATGCAATGTAAATCACTGCCATTTTAGAGAAACTGCAATTACCTTGCAGGACTAAGAGTGCCTCTAGTGACTGTCAGTCTACTTGCTAGGCGACTTTTGATCACCTGACACTGGACGTCCTAATGCTCTGCATGAGGACACCCAGCATCAGAGAAAACCCCATAGGAAAAACATTGTGCATTGTTTTCCTATGGGGAGGACCTTATCCGCTCACTGCTCTTTCCGTGCATGCGCATTTGCTCCCCCCATCAGGTGACATCTGAGGAGGTGGAGCGCCAAGGGTGATCGGCACTGGAATCGGGTGAGTACAGCAGGGTTTTTTTTTTTTAACAGTTAGTTCCCAATTGAAGGCAATGCAAAGTTGTGATAAACCACTAAATGCTTTTGATTTGTTTATTTATTGCAGATGGGCTTCTCATTCTATACAGCAAGTACGGGCCAGTGGATCGAGACACAAGAGTGCCATTGCACAATGCTTGAAAATCAACTGAAATTGTACTGTGAACACATTGACTTCATCTCTGTAACAAGCTTAATGCTTTAATATGTATTTTTATTTATTTTTTATTTTTTTAATAGGTGTCCATATTTTTAAGGCAAAGTATTGAAAAATAAACACAGAGCAATTTTATCTGTACAATGCATTATTTTATTTTCCAGTTCAAGAGCATAGCAACAGAAAAACAGAATAGTGCAAAAATAATTCTTCTGTTACAAAACATTGTAAAAACTTACTATACAAAAAAAAAGAACTTTGCCCAGCAAAATGTATCTTCCAACATTTTTTACCTTCTACACAGTAACCAAAAAGGAAAAGGTTAATTCTGTTCTACTGACCCATCCACAAATATATTTACATACACACAGCTTTAAAAAATTAAGGTGTAGTTTATTTCATTCACAAGAATAAAGAAAGTGGGGATGTTTATAAAAGTGATAATCTTGCATTACATTCATAGATTGCTTCCAAAAACTAAAAAAAACCTGACGGTTCCATTGAAGAGAGAAGGTCTCCTGTAGGGGAAAATGTTCTGGGTGATTTGGAAGAGTACACATTAAAAAGGTTATTTTGCTTTTAATTTGGTCCTTCCCCAATCAAATCCCATAGCATCACATTCTACCACAAAATGCGCCATCAACTGCAACACCATGTGAAAAGCAAAAGGGTTTGTCATCCATGCAAAGACCGTAACACATGACCTGAGGTAAGTGGTGATTTTATTACAGAAGGTGGTGACATATGTTTCCACCATAATACAATGGAATAATCACCTGTACCCCAACAGGGGGGAAAAAAATACATACTTTCCTATATATAGATTCCTTTAATTGAAAACTGAAGTCTTTAACACAGATTTTTTTTTTTTATTGTGCCCTTTTCACATAAGTATAGGCAAAGTAATTTATTTTTCTACCTATACTTTTAAACACAGTTCTGTTACATAAAACTCAGAATTCTGGGATTTTAAAACATTTCCATCATTTGTAAACACCAGATGGATAACACAGAGTAGTAAGTGTATATTAATCCACTAAAGAGCAGTAAAAGACAATGTTGTCATAACAACCTGGCCCTTAACCCTTTCATTGAGAGGAATTAAGCAAATTATTTTCTCACAACAGCCCTGACAAATAATTTGTAATGAAGCAGTTTGGGGGTATAGAGCATGCCCCACGCAATCTCACTGCTCAATTCTCTGCCATCCAGGAGTTAAATAATGTTTGTTGTTTTTTTTTCCGTTTATGAATCCCCTGGCTGTAGCTGACACAGCCTGCATGAAAAAAGATTGGTTTAATTTTCAATCAGATGCTAACTTACTTTATAAGTTTGTATCTCCTGCTCTGTAAATTTAACTTTAATCACACACAGGAGGCTCCTGCATGCTCTAGAAGGCTATTAGCAGTGCAGGTGATAAGAAAGTCTAGATTAAACTTACTGTGCAATAAAAGAACCTAAAATATCTAGGTTCCTTTTCAGGTGTTTAGAAAGGCTGTGCAAATCACATGGAGGGAGCTGGAACTAGGGCTGTACAAACAAAGTGACAACTCCTAAATGAATGAGAATTGGGCATGAAGACTGCACGAGCGTGTTCTATACACCATTAAACTAAGGTGTTTTGGTACTTTTAGTGACCCTTTAAAGTGTCCTACTCATTCAAATACACAAAGCTTCTCTAACGTTGCTAATGCAAAATTACCAGAACTTATTCTAGCACAGAAACGGCATCGGCTAAACTGTCATAACAGCATTAATATAGTAAAATATATATTTATAACATGCCAGCTGAATCTATAGGGCTGTTTAATAGGTTACCGAAAAAATATACAACTTTATTTGTATGTAAAATAATTTACTACTTTTTTTCCCCAAACACAACTAAGCTTTATATAAATAAATAAAAAATGCAGTTATATGGATGCTTTTCACAAAGTGTCAAAGATAACCGATTCATTAGTGCTAGCAATAGTGATTTATTTTTGTAGTTCTAGCCTGCATAATTTAATTTAGATCATTATTAAAACAAAAGAGAACCGCAGACCACAGGCCATAGTTCATCGATTGTGATAAGATAGTTCTGCTCTGAGAAACCAAAATGTTTCTGTTTCTAACACCAAATGGTTTATTTATTAAACAGTGAATTGAACAAGTTTCAAATGTTTTTTGAGTTTATAATCTTAGTTTGGCTATTCTGGCCTGAATTCCCAACTCTGTTTTCAATTCACCAACATGTTTGTTATTTGTTGTTTTGTTTTGTTTTTTTATAGAAAATAAACCCTCAAATGTATCAAAGCTTTGCATTTCTTATAAAAATATTTTTTTACATGCCATTTGCAATATTCCACACATGCTAACTAGTGATGTCTCGAACGGTTTGCCGCGGACTCATCATTGAGTAAACTTTGACCCTGTACCTCACAGTCCGCAGACACATTCCAGCCAATCAGCAGCAGACCCTCCCTCCCAGATCCTCCCACCTCCTGGACAGCTCCCTAAGAATGCAGCTTTAAAATGGATGCTGTCCAGGAGGTGGGAAGGTCTGGGAGGGAGGGTCTGCTGCTGATTGGCTGGAATGTGTCTGCTGACTGTGAGGTACAGGGTCAAAGTTTACTCAATGATGACTTCGTGGTGAACCGTTCGTGAACCGTTCGGGACATCACTAATGCTAACCCTTATCTGCTGATGCATATATTTTTAAGTGCACAATGGAATTGTGGTGGACTTCACTGTCACAGCAAATCCAATTTCCTGTTACCCATAATACATAGCAACAGTCACGTGACATTCCATTTTATCTTTTGCTACGAACATGCAAGAAGTCAAAATTTGCTGTCCCTCCTTCAAGACTCGCCACTAAGCTCCATGAAGCGGAAAGGTGGTGTGGAAAATAAATTTGCACCATGTTCAGATTATAGAGTATTGACAAAAGTGACATTTGGCTTTCCATGCACACTAAGGCATCAAAAATAAACTTTTTATTTTTTTTATCTCCTTAATCACAGCTTCACATACATGATTCGCAAGCCGTATGGGAGAAAAAAAATAATCAGTTTGAGGTATGCTCTTCAACGGAATGACAGCTAACAAATAATCCATATACATACACTTCTTTCTCATTTAAAACAATAACTACAGCCTTGCGATGAGGACTATGTGTATCTACAAATATAACAGGTACATTTCGAGAAGGTTTTTCATCTAACAACAGATGCTGAAACGTTAATACGCTGTACAGACTTCAAGATCATATAATAATTAAGATGTTTAGATGCACTCAGCTAGATGCTATAATAAAAAAAGATGCTGACAATTAAAAAAAAAAGATACTGAGTTCTACTCAGTTAAAAAAAAAATAAAGTGTGCTTTTAAAACAATATGAATATATAAATTATCCCATTTCTGTCACCACATCTATATGCCACTTGCTCTGCAATGTAGTGGACATGGTTACCAAAAACAGGGAAATATTAGTTCGAATGTACTTTATGGAAGAAAAAAATACTATATATATATAAAAAAGAAATATCTACAAATATTTAAGTTTGGCAGTGCAAAGTCACAACTGTGATAACACTTTGTTTTATGGAAAAAAATAATAATAATCAAGTAGCCTGTAACTCACACCAACGTAACGCGCATACTAAAAACTTTACTAATTGTATTTACAAAATGGTTGAAATAATGTTTATGATTTCTGAATCTTAGAACATTGCTGGTTCTTGCTACAAGGTATATATTATTAGATTTAAAAAAACGAATATACTAGACTACGCATTCTCCAGAAAGCTACGAAAACATTTTGTGCTGAGTACTTGCAAATTATTTTGATAACTGCTAATCAGTTCCTAGATCTTAGTGTCTACAAAATCTCTAGAGGGTAAAATACAGGACTCTACTGAATTATTTGTTTTGTTTATTTTAAAGGGACACTCGGAGCACTGATAATAAATACAGATAATTGTAGTGGTTATGGTGAAAGACGTCTTTGGGAGCAGTTCTCATTTTCCTGACCAACTATTTGACAACCATGATGATAGGTACCCAAAGCTCACCTTTCGCCTGCTTAATAATGTGCACTTTTCCATATTAGCACAGCAATTATATACCAGAGCGGACCTAACCTGATCCTTATATTACAGCTTATCATTGCCATACACATTTCAACGGATAATGAGGAAGTGGAATTTTTCATCATTTTAATGGCAGAATCAGGGGAGGGAGTAAGAATTTGAGTGCTGAAACCTTGCGCTTGATACAACGTGGGGCATTGTACAGTGGTTGCTTAATGCCACTTTACGGGTAACCGCTCAGGTGATATTAACCCCTTAAGGACACATGACATGTCATGATTCCCTTTTATTCCAGAAGTTTGGTCCTTAAGGGGTTAAACAAGATTAGCTATTAGAGTTGCATCAAAACTGTGAATTGTTTAAAACACATGTTTAAGTGACCATTCATAAAAAATTTAAAGCGGAGGGTTGGGGTGTTGAGAATCACCAACTGCTTTACAAAGGAAATTATATTTGAATCTTTCAATTTATAGAATAGTATGTATGCTTACATAAGCCAACGATCCAATATAAATCTGCTTTACCAATTCATTTCTTGACACAAGATGATGTATCTATTAAAAGGTAGGAAACGATAAAACTTTAAATATCCTTCTTGTTCCTATGTCTTACAATTTAAGGCTACATATTGGGTCAGATCTGAAGCCTGAAGACTATAAACCAATGTGAATTTATATTTTCATTGGTCGTTAATTAAAAAAATGTAGCCCTTATTTAGAATATTTCATTTTGTGCAATGGTAAAAATCAATACCTCCTTTGGCATACATCTACATACAATGCCTCTATAGCCAAAATATACATTGTAAAACGTAGAAAGAAACCTCAAGATTCTTTTAAAACTCTAAATTGTAATGTGTTGCATGATGTTGCAGAGAATAACACGGAACAAAAGCATGTTTCAAACACTTTCAAAAATCCCTATTGCAGGGGAGTAACTGGTGTACGTTTCTATATACCGCTTCCAGACTGAGCTATAAGCTAGGTACATTCTTCACGTGAAAAAAAAAAAAAACAGTAATGTGCTTAACGTAAATGCACAGTAAATCAAAATAAATATTGTTATTTTATTTGAAGCAGTAAATAGTGCCGAGTTGCCAAAAAAAGTTGTAGGCCTAAATATTTTTTTCCTAATTCGTAACCTCAACTTTTCAACTCAGGACAGCTTACCGTTTATTAAATGAATACGTAAATGTAGGTATGTGTCTGCTCAGAATAACTAGCTGCCGAAAAAATGGTGAGGAGGATGATCAAAGTCGTGATCGTAAGAGGGGGGCAATTAAATCAGCAGACATATGGTGACCACTCCATATTTCTAACTATGCACCACTTTTCAGATTCTGACACTTTGATAAGTCTCCCTCACTGCCTTGTAAGTATTAATAGCACTAATACAGCATACAAATAAGTGCTTAGCTAGAACCCGCTCCAACCCCCTCTATTCTGGTTTGGCATATACAGAAAGAACTAAATCAGTTTTTCCACTTCTTAAACCATAGCTCATTTCATTGAGGTGTGGTGTCTTGGAATCAATTTCTTCAATATTTAGATACTATTTACTATGTAAACTAGTAACATGTTAAGTTGATGAACACTCTTTTGCCAATTCCTCTTTTTGGTAAAACACAACTTAATATCGAACGGAACTTCTAACAAATTCTACACAGAATTTACAGAGCTACACAAAACCGCTATCTTTGCAGATTAAATTGCAGAATGGCAAAGCACCATGGACTTGTGGTTCACATACATACGCAGTGCCACGTATAATGACTGCAAAATGTAAACTAACGTAAAGACACTGCAATAACAAACAAATTGTTACCATATGCAAATTAATATCCTCCACCGTAGCCAAAAGTGAGGTCGGAATTTAGGGGCACGTACAGACAGTTTGAAAAGTTCCATTGTAACACAACAAACATTTGATTGTACACCCAGCTATCTGTCCACACTTGCATAAGGGCAGATTGTAAAGCAGTGATATCTCTATTAATTTTGATATTTTATTAAATATTGGCTATATTATTTATACTTATTTTTTTAAATTATTGTCGCTGCAGTTCTTTGGCATTTATACTTTTTTACAACAATTTTTGGTTGTAAAATTGTTGTAAAAAAGTATAAAGTACAGAGATCTTGTTCCTATCATCAGGAACAACAAGATTGCTATCTTACCAACTGCAAAGGATCATTTGTAGCTGTTAAAGTACATAGATAGGTATAGAGGCAAAGACAGAAAAGGTAACCCTGGGGGGGGGGGAAATGGTGCTGGGAATTTTCTCTCTTCATTACTGAATTTTCTTATTGAAAGCCAGCTTTCGCATCACCTTATCAAAACTCTCAATTACCTTAGAGAACAAAACATTAGCCACATAATGAGATCTGCACACAATCCTATGTTTGAAAAACCCTCACCTGTATCGTTCAAACATTTACCCTTGATTGAAAGCATTAGGAAACATTGCCCTGGAGTGTATTGGTGTGTAATGGTGTCCTATGTAACAGATGGGTAATATCCGAACTGCTCACGGTCAAATGACAAACTACTTGGCTATCAAAAAAAATGTGCAGTTTTTATCCCCAGTATTCCTGCAATATTGTATAATACAGAAGTCCTTGTGGATCAAGTGTTTTCTCCTTCGTTGAAATTTTGTGACAAATAAAGGCACCCTAATCGTCTCTTCCGATGTTCAATTTTTTTGGCAACAATCATATGTAGGGACTAAGAAGAGGGTTTCGCGACTTTCTGATCATCATGTCAGTGCTTCATCCCAAAATCGTTTGGATGCATATACATATGTTCTCCAGAATCAAGGATACTTTTCTAATAGTGTAAAATGCATTCACTTCCTTTACAGAACTGTAAATATGATAGTTTTTAGGAATTATATAAGAAAATCTATTCTTCCATTTAGGCTCCAAATAATACCTATAAATAAAGTTGGATTACTTGTTCCTATAAATAGCATAGTCTGTTTGATGTAATACCCCGTGTATCTTGTCTTTAAATTAGGTATTCAACCAATTCACCATCTGTAACATCTTGCGTAAGCTGTGGAAGTGGGTTCTTTCTTTCCAAAGTACTGGACTGAAAAACTGTGTCTGAAAATCAAAAATATAGACTGGTAAAAAGCCATATTTCAATAGTAAATTTAAACATTTTATACTATTTTTCTATTCGCATGCATGAATCAAGATGTAACACCCAAAGAGGACTGAATGTTAGAGCTATAAAAATAGGATTCTATTAAATAAAAATATTGTAAAGGAACATTATTAGCTATTACCTGTTCTGTCTGAGCTATACATGGGGCTTGGAGTGGCCAGTCGCACTGGTGGGCCAGGAGATGCACTCACAGAAGGATTTTTATTCTGCTCGCTATTCCGATCTGTTTGCGTGCAGCAATCTCGGCTACCGGTCTTTGAGTGCCCAGGTAGAAGTGGTGTGGATGGAAGGACCGGTGATGGAGTAGATGAGATGGAATCAGAGCGGTATTCTGTTCCCAAGAGAACTCCTGTATGAGGATAAGAGGAGCAACATGTGTTATTGTATATTGTACGGTTTCCAGGTGAATATCTATTATTTAGTTTTTCAAAGCAGTGTAACGCTTACCCAAGCTGCCCTTCCAGTTCTTGTCCTCTCTCTTTTCTTCCAAAATGGGGGTATTAGTCAGCGTTGAGGAATGAGATAACAGCCCAGATCCAGCATTAGAAATGGACATAAGTGACTTGGATGGTCGCATGGAAGAGGGCTGGTCCAGCTTGCTTGGATCTTTGCGGGAACGTTGCTGAAGAACTTTAATCATTGCGTCCTTCTCAATGATCTGGGCATGAAGTGTTTTTATCCTGACAGGCAGAGAAACACAGCATTTTAAATTATAAACTACATGATTAAGGGGATGCCTCATAGACCACTCTTGGTGGTGTGACTGGTGGCAGTGTGTTAGTGCTTAACCATGTAAAGCAATGACATGTTTGTTCTGAATTGTTCTGGTTGGTACGGAATTCTAGGCACTGAAGTTCAATGGAAGCTTGAGGCCACGGTTAGGCAACTGTTGACCTCAAGTGTCCCAACTGCGGGCCTATAGCTTTTGTTGGACTACAACTCGCACAATTCTTTGCCAGGTGAAATAATACAAAAAAACTGATTAGCGTTGACGGTCATGATTTTCATAGTGTATCCCATTTCTCAAGTATTATTTTAGTGCATGTGAAATCCACCTCTACCTTAATGCTTTCAAAACCATACACCCCAGGTGCTATGAGAATGCGATAAAGCTTAAGTTAATAAAAATATACCAGTAGCTAGTGGTGAACCATCATCTCTCACCTGCCCTCCATGTCAACACAGCGTCTGTTGGCCAACAAAATCTCTTCTTCCTCTTTTTGGATCCGGGCCTCAAGGCTGGTATCAAAACTCCCGGTCGGAGAATGGCTTATCGATGATGTGTCTCTAAAATTCACAGAAAACAAAGGGAATTAGGGCAGGTCTATAATCAGAGGCATTTATGTTAACTATTCATTAAATCAGACAAAGGAATCCTGGAAGTCATATTGTTGCCAAATAAAAAAACAATAAGCTGTTCAAATATTTGTAATCAAGACTCTATTATAATTATCAAAACATCATACTACATAAACAACCATTTATTCATGACAATCATGTAATCGCATTTGTAAATAATAGTTCTGACCAGGTTTACAAATCAATGTCTTAACTCATTATCCATCCATTAAATAGTTTACTTTTAGCATCCCCTTACATTGGCAGAGTTTTGTCACAATTACAGTAGGCAACCTTCGGCACTCCAGATGTTGTGGATTACACCTCCCACAATGCTCTACTGTACAGAATATGCAATTCACTTGTATTTAATATCACCATCAGAAAATATAATGAGCCACAAGCTTGGTGGCTCCATTGAGACAGCTAATCTAGATATCCCCAAATGCCCTACTTAGCAAGAGTTTATGCACTCCACTAAAACAAAGTAAAGACCAGGATTTGATTAAGGAAACTCAACCACTGCCTGGTTGTTGCAAGGTTGCACCTAATGTGGGACACTCAAAGGTAAGTCAAGTAATTTTTTATGTCTGCATTTGTAATGCATATATATCTACATCGTCATCATAATAATAACCACAATAAGGGCTTCAGTCAACCAGACATTTTTTAAATATCAATAATCAGAAACAGACTTCTAAGTCGTATATCGAGTAAAAAAAAAAGTTGATGCGTAACGGATTAGTAAGAGGTTAAATGGACAATTACACAAGCAATGCAGTTTTACAACTATGAGCTCTTCAAACTGGGATATCTAGTGAATTCCAACACACAGCCTGAGAAGTGCACACAAGCACAGATAAGATAAGTGTGGAATGCATACACAGCACACCCATCTCATTAGGAACTTGGCCAACTAGACACATTTTCCACTATGGGACAGAGTGGGAAGGCTTAGTGTCCAGCCAACACCTGCAGCTTCTGTCATGTTTTTTTTCTTTTTTTATTGTCTGTAAGATAAAATGATTCTTTTCGCTGTAATGGTGAAATGGTGGACATTCACTGTTATAATGTGTGACAATATACACTATTAGAAATTAGGATTATAAATGTTTATTAAAGAGGGCTCTGATCAACAATTAGCACCATCAATTGAGGAAGCAATAAGCATGCGTGAAATGTATAGTTCTAAACCTTTGTTGGCTACAATGCGACAAGTGCAGGATGTTGGAAAACATGTTAGCCATGCGTCATGTCACAGACTGCAGCCCCTGTCGATATAACCTAACCAGCACTGGAATACGGTAAAACAGTAACCAGAATAGTGTGGCAGAATGGAACTCCTACCAATATCCTGTGGCATGTGCACATAGTTGGCAAATTAAAGAGAGACTTGTGTTGCAGACTGCAGCTCCTATCTATATCACATAACTAGCAAAAGAAGCTGGGAAGTGACCCATGTTGCAGAATGCAACTCCTATTATATATATATATATATATATATATATATATATATATATATATATATATATATCACATGACAACCAAAAGAAGCGGTCAGTCTGCTAAGAGACCCACGTTGCACGCTGAGGCTCTAACCTATATCATACAGCTAGCATTGGTGGAGAGGAAGAGACTGGTGTTGCATAGTGCAGCTCCTACCTATATCACATGATAAGCAAATGAAATAAACAAAACAGAGAGGTGGTTGCGGCTCCTTGCCATGCCTTTTTCTTTGGGTACATTATTTGTGTCACCTCAATAAACCATGATCTGGATCAATATAGATGGGGTCCGGAATAAATAGTGTTAGATGTTCTGGTCTTTCTCTTTATCAGAAAATGTCAGACACCTTTATAATTGTGTCAACCTATTAATGCTGTAAAACATGAAACTTTCACAATTAATTTATGCTGCTAACCAGATGATGTATTCAGTGATCTCCTGTGTGTAATATGAATGGTCGAGAGCTGTGATTTTAGGATGAAACAGATGTGCTCACTAGAAATCCATTTTCTAAATTGTACAAAATAGACCATCTTTACCTCTGAGCAGCTACAGTGGCAGCAGCATCGAGAGCAAACTGTCTCATGACGCTCTCCTCCAAGTACTTCTGTTCCCATTTGGTCATGTCTGCTTCAAGGGCAAGCACCCGCTCTTCCTTCTCTCGGAGAAGCTCCATAAGAGCAGAGGCATTGTACTCCGAAACATTGGCAGACTGTGAATTCCCCTGGCGCTACAAAACAGGAAGGAAAACAGTTTTCATTTTGCTTATTTATAGAGTGTTTTATAAAATATAACTCCAATAGGATACAATGCATGTAAACACATACTGCTTTATGTGCCTGAGGATCAGAACATACAGATTTTTATTTTACGTACTGCCTGACAGCTGATATCACACGGTGCAAATAAAACCAGACTACACATTCTGACTGGACATGCACTTTGCAGGACCTCTTATCCCATTATAGTGTCAGGATTTACATACACTGTTTAACTCGAGAATGGTGCAAGTTAAAATGCTCTTACAAATCAGTTGCTTGTTAGTGTGGGAGAGGCCTGAATTAATAGCAGATATTGCAAATAGCTCCTGCCCCAGAATACCCACCAATCCCAGGCAAGAAATGTATGTAATGGTGCTGCCCAATGATTATATAAACAGTTTAAGCACCAAAATCATCTTAAGTAATCATTCCCACCACCATAACAACTTCATTGACATTTTGAGTGCAGAAGTGACCAGATTACCTTCAGGTGTTAAACTGTTTGGCAACGGTTTAAACCTAAAGCTGGACCTTCAATGCCCGACACAGCTGTCCCCTGGCTTCCATCATCTCTGTCTATGTGTCTGAGTTTTTGTGTATATATATATATATATATTTTATGAATTCACAAAAGTAAAACCTAAACTGCCACTTCTGCTTAGAAAAATAACATATTTTTGTTTTGTTGCAAAGTTGTCCTTCTCTTGTTAAAAACTAAGATTAGTTCTATTAAGCCAGGAGCTTTGATGTATCAGACGAACAGATTTTAAGTGATGTCCATGCAAGGGGTTATTTGTGCAGAGTATTAGGAAGTAGAACAATGGGTCTTTGACATTGAGAAGAGACTGAGTTCGTTAAAATTCCTCTCCACATGTGTGCCGGACACAGCATGCAGTGTGCTCCAGCGCCTGAAGGAGCAGCCAGAGGGGACTTGATTTAGACTCTTTTTCCTTCTGGACACAACACACAAGCAAGGCGATTGTGTTGGTTTCCCTCGGCAGGAGCCGCTGACCACAGTTCACCTCAGTAACTGCAGTTGTTTTTTAATTTCTCAGGGTGATTGGAAGACTGGGGGTTTGTAACAACCTGACTGTGCAAATACTCTCATAGAAATGTGCATGCACAGCACTATTACAGGGTGATAGAAGGGCCCACATACACAGCTAAATTTATACTGGCTATTTCTGGACTGGCTGTAGTATAGAGCCTCCTGTATAACAGTATGTTTGGATAGGTTAAAATATATACTGGGTTATTCATTCGGGAATTGCAGAATAAACTCATTCATTTCGATTTTTTTGCCCCGCAAAAAAAGATAATTGTATTTTTTTTATTTTATTGCAATTGTTAGTTGAAATTAGCCAAGCCTGAATAAATTCACCCACTCAGCTCTTTGAGCCCAGAGGAAATAAAATTCCCTTAATTGTCCACAATTCTTAGCAAAGCGCAAGCTCCTGCTCTTATTTACAATAACAATTTAGGTGTATTATACAGTCTAGTATCAGTGACATATTACTGGAACTATACTATATACTGGGGGTAAATATGTGTTATTTATTTCTTTGTATCCAATTAATGCCAAGACTCTATGCAGTGTTTGATAGGGTACCTAATATTTCACAGCCTTTCATGCTACAGAGTAACCAATGGGTTAATTTTCAAAATGGCCACTTAGACGCATGGAGAGTAAGCGAGAGTAAGTATAATTACCCCTATCAAGTGGTCGGGCTAATTCCTTCAAATGGTGGCTTAGGAAAGAGGACAGGAAGGTTTAGGACAGGGTTTATTTGCGGCCATGACATAAAACACTTAAGACGCAACAGAAACAAATCACAATTAAAATAGAATTTTGGTTTCCTATATATTTTAAATCGGAATAAATCCCATATAAATAATCAACCCTACAAAAATTAAGGTCATCGGAAAGCTCCCAGTAAGGAGAAAATAACTTGTAACTTAACCCCTCCAGGACAATGATTTAGACAAATCCTATGCTTTGACTATCTCTGTGGAGAAACAAAAATTTTAGGACCCACATAAACAATAGTTTCTTAGTTACTATATCCATTCTAAACATACAAAGATACAAACCAAAACAAGAAGAGGTGCATGATGGGAAGTATCATTCAATACAAGATGCAGATATGGAAAGGAATATTTGATCGTAAAATGTTAACTATCGCTAGACATTTTGTAAAAACACATACAGACAGTTATTTTGTGTACACAAATAAATGAAAATGGTGTAAGGAAAAGTTTACATCCTTGGGATTTATTTATTTTTTCAATGGTAATTCTGAAGTACAGGTAAACCAATAAATCGATATATTGAAAAAAATTTCAGCTCCTAGAATGCAGAGTTACCAAGGGAATTCTCCATAATTCTGATCCATTTATTCATTTAAAGAAAAAAACAAAAACACACACACTCCCACGCTCCCATGGCAGAGAGGTCCACCTACCTGCTGCATACGTAGAGATTCCAGCTCTCTCTCCAGCCTGGTTCTTAGTCGATGTTCCAACTGCTCTCGCTTCTCGCAGGCGGCCTGTAACTGAGCCAGGGCTTGTTGCATTTTTTCTACTTTGTCCACGTAGACCTGCTTTTTCTTCAGCTGTAATAAAGAAGATAGCAGAGACTTAGGATTCTGTTGACTATTTATCTGCGACATTAGGGAAGATGCTTATGAACATTTTGCCACCTTATATAAGGAGAAAATTGGAGGAGACACTAATGTTCTTTTGTATCTGTCTTTAACTCCATCAAATCAGATAAAATGCCAGATAAAATGTTTAATTATTGGCCCAAAAGGGCTTATGAGAACCAAAGGTTAAAAAAAGACTGCCCTATGTATCACGATATATGGCATGTTCATATGATATTTTGCATTTTATTGCCAATATGTGAGGCAAGCATATTGCACATCACACAACCTCGAACAAAGCGATGGGTGTGCAAACTCCCCTATATTGAATAAAATTTGTCCCCAAGTGCTGAATTTTATATAAAACCCACCATTTTTCACAGCGGTATCATGGCACATGCCCTAATGCTTTCCAAGGACACCTACACGGAATGACACAAGCTAATTTTACACCTCTCAGACAGCAAAGATATATTTGTGCAGTGTAATATTTTATTAATCTAACATATTCGTACTCATCACCAGTGTGGAGTAGGGTAAATATCCACAGATTTTCTACCTATTGCACAAAACATTTCAGCGCTTGGATAATATATTTAGACAAATGGTTCGTATGAGGTTTTTTACAAATACCAATTCTACAGAGCTGCGGAATTTGCTGGCGCTATATAAAATAATACAGTACTGCTATGTCCATTTATCTTAGCTGCTGTATAGCAAATTAACACTACATTGAAACATTTCTTAACAAGAGAAGTGGGGAATTAGATGTGAATTTAACACTTTGGCCTACAATATCTTACAGTACACAAGTTAATGTAGAAAAACAGTAACATTTCTAGTTCAGAATGTATAATTATCCCACAGGTATATCATTTATTTAATTAGTATGCAGAAGATGATAACTGAAGTCAACTACCAACCTTGACCAAACTGGACAGTGTGTGCTGACGTTTGAAAAGTCAATTTTCAGATGTTCCTGATTTTAATATGCAAATCTGTCTAATGTGATATAGGTTATATCCTAATGGAAAAATTAGCTCCCAATGAGAGACACAGACTCGTGAAAACCATTTATAAAATAAAACTAGAGTAGCAATTTGGAGAAATGGCTCATTTTATTTGCTAGACTCAAATACTCTTATTACAAATTCGGCTAAGGAGTAATTCTGACTCTAGCCAGGCACTCTGCAGATCCCTTAACGGATATGGGGGAGATTTATCAAAGCAGTATGTGTGGTGCTTAAATGTACTAAAGGTGTTGCAATAACCATAGAAACCAACAGAACAGGCAAGCACATTCCACTGGCGACTACTACTCCTCCTTTTGGTAAATCTCCTTCATTGCTCCCTCATAGCTAGAAAATTAATGGTTGCATGAGCTTCAACAAGACGAGAAAACGGACATGAGATACCCCTCTAGATGTAGATCCACATTCTTCCTGTTTTCCAGACTATGGCCTACAAGTGGCAAGGGATTGTGAGAGATGGACTTTTAGAGAGGTAACTGCCTTCCATTCATGACTTGGCTTGTTAATGTATATGGGTGGTAGTACAGTTCTGTGACAGTCTGTGGCTGTAAAAGCATGATGGGAGGTGGAATGTCAAAATTATCCAATAAGCTACCTGCTGGCCACCCCAGGCTCACATTATAGACATGGCCTGTTCATTCATGCATATGGGAGGCACTCTGCCACCATACCAGTTTGGTCACATTTTACAATTTCACATTTTAGCAATACAGAGTGTTCGTACAGGAGGCCAGCCTAGAACTCTGCACAGCAGCAGGTGAATACTTATTTACATCACACACATAGCCTGTTCACGCATGCATATGGGAGGCACACCACCACCATACTAGTTTGATCACATTTTACAAATTCTCTTTTCCTTACACCTTCCTTTTTCCTTGTAGACTATCCAGACAAACTGCCTTTAAATATCAGCGTTGTTCTTCTCTTTGTCCAAACGCACAAGGAGAGTTAAAAAAAACAACAACAACTTTTATTCAATCTACGGGGAGGTTATAACATACCTATCAGACAAATACAGCATATTATAGAAGGGGTGGGACACACAGGTATTAATTTTTATTATTCTGCAAGATATGGTATCCCAAATCTTTATTTTTGGCTCATTTCACAGTACACAAGAAAACCCAGTATATAAATGGTTAAAGTTATGTGCACAATTTAGTCTGTGAACAGTGGGGAACTGAAAAGAGAAATGCTAATTGTAGGCAGAGGACACTGAAATATTCTCCAACTCAGCTGATTTCCATATTGGATATGCCGTCCTAAATATTGGAAGTCCTGTACCAATTCGCAGTTTAGTTAATAAACCCCATGCTTTTTTCTAGAGCCGTTTATAGAATGTTTCCAGTATGCAAAGAATCCCATATATCCCAAGCCCTTGCTTAACAGAGGCCCTTTCAGATTGTACTTGACAGAGCTATGAGAGGCATCCCCTCTGTTTATACTGACTGCTTCAGATACCTCTTATGGTATAAGGATGGTCAGCAGTACCTACTCAGTACACCACATTGCAGGGCCTTAAATTGTTGTTAGACTAATACTCTAATTACTCAGGTGATGGGAGTTACACTCGACCAAAGATTTGGGCAGGCTGTGTCTGTAATACTGAATATATATTTAACCTTTCCATAGGTTATTTGCAAACAAAAGTTAAAACTAATTGGTTATTACAAAATGTCTCAACATGTCCTTAAAGGAACACTGTACGCCCAATAGCCACCACAGCTCATTGTAGGGGTTGCAGTGTTATGAACAACAAGGTGAGCAGGGAGATGGTGGCCCTACACTTTTGGGCAATCAACGCCGTCCTTTTTTGCTGGAATTGTGCTTGATAAAGCAGGAATAGTAAAATATAAATGTAATATTTCCCCATTATCAGTTGAAGATCATAAAGCAGTTTAGAGAAAAAAGGGGGATGACACCTGACACCCCACCCCCTACCCTCCCGCACCTTACCCTCACCCGCAATGCCCTCACCCCATGCTGCCTGAGAATACACACTCGCAGAAACACCTCCCTTCCCACCTGACCAACACATATAGAACCAACCCAACACAGCAAGTGCACAAAGGGGCTTACACCCCCGACACAATAGGATCCCCAAACAGACACAGAAGGACACCAACACAGAAGGGACACCCCAACAAGACTACACCCCGACGCATGACACACACACAGCCACCGCCCACACAACAAAGAACAGCGACTAGCGCAAAGGGGACACCCACAACAAACGCGAGACAAAAACTACCTGACGGACCCTCGACCCCCAAACGCCCCACTACTCGACAACCACTCCCTACCCCCCACCCCAACGGATCAGTAGAGACGCTCTCAGGAAGCAGGGCTAGACAAGGTCACAGCAGGAGCACTAAAGTTTCTTTATAGTTTATCTGCTTCCCAACACAAACATACCAATTAATAAAATGACTGAATCTGAGTGTTCTCTATAGCTTTCATGTCTAAAACTTGTGAGAATGGCGAAAATATTCTCTTTCTATTTTTCTAAGACTAGTTCCTTCTTGAAAACTGTCAATGCTGAAAGATGTTGCAATGTAGGAATGGAATCAGATGCTCGCTATTGCTTTGTAAAATTGCTCTCTTCACATAAATACTAACGATACCTTTATACCAAATGAACAATAACTGACATGTACACTATTTTTGCCACCTTCTGTATTGATGCATATAACTTTGTATTGCCAATTGTTATGATGTCAATAAAAGCAAATTGAATGATAAAAAAAAAAAGGGGGGGATGGCACCCATAGGCTTTGAGTACCATAACCACTACAAAGAGATGTAGTAGTTATGGTGCTTAGAGGGCCACTTTATTTTTGGCTACGTTTATATAGTCATGCTGTTTTTCTTCATCCACTTATTCTCTTGTGAAAAAAAAAAATCAATAAAGATTTTTCAGCAAAAAAAATAATAAAAAGTTAAAATTGTGTTTCTGTCTCAGCAATAGAATATTGGTGTGTATCTTTGCACATACATGCTTTTTCCACCTAAAGATACCTGGAAAGGATCATAGTGAGGATATGCTCTGGAAGACGGTGAGGTTCCAACACAGTTAGGGAGCTTTATTTTGATAGAAAATAGGAACGTGGTATGCACAAAACCAAATCACTCATTGCATGTAACCATGAATGATTGCTGCTAGCAACTTGGGAAGGCCTAGGAAAGTTTAGTGATTTCCCAATCATGGAACCAGTCTCTGCTGGTCAACACTAAAATCTGTAGTTTCCAAAGCTGCACAATTCTGATAAGGGAACAATGTGTAAGTTCATTTTTTTATATAGGTCATTTCCTCTAACACACCTTGTTCTTTTCAGTAGTAACAATACATTAAACAAATAAATTCAAAACCAACAAGTGTATATAAGTTGCAGAAGACTATGTTGAAAAAAATAAATACATTTATTTACATTTAAAGAATGTCCCAATACTTTGTCTAAAAAAAAAAAAAAAAACACACACACACACACACTCTCTCTTTCTTTTTTAAATGAAATATATTCTCAATAATCTTTAACAAACCCATAGATCTAACTTCATTCATGATTGGATTATCTGCACTGTTTTGACCACTTCTGACATTCGTTTACTTTCTAGCATCAAAAGGAATTTAACAACACAGATAAAATGGAATATTTGATGACACTAAGCCACAAAACTTCCAAAATATTTCATAACATACAGGACATTTGGATTATTTATTGGTCAGATTTCCTCTTTTTTTTTTTATCATCAAAGTTTTGCACTCATTTTTCTTTTTTAGAGCAGATATGCCGTCTGGATTGCAAATCTTAAGGGTTGTGCTATGTTTTATATAATAATATAGATTTAATTCTGCACTATGTTTTTTCTTCATCTTTTGCATGTCTTAGCATACCATACAGATGGATATATCCCCAGATTGCCAAAAAGTATGCATAGCATTCTAAGTACACATGTGCTTGTACGCCATTTGTCTGCAGGTGCTGGAGCACACGTGTAGAATAATAGGGTATTGATATTGCCATGGAGACAAGTGCTGTAGATGCAAATGTGATTTTAGTTACTTCTGCTTCTCTGTTCACCCGGTAGACTGTCCAATGGCATTTAATGGCATATGGAATTGAAGAATTTTCTAACTTAATATCAGATAAATTACATTTTATCAAATAGTTTTAAACAAAATCATTTGACCATGGAACAGGGTGGAAACGCATGAACAACAAGTGCATTTATGTTTGCACAGCCTGCAATACAATCACTTTAAAAATGTTGGTACCAATATTATTTCTAGCCACAATGCAAGCAAATGTATAAATAAAGTTATTTAGATTAACGTGTAACTTGCTTGCTGCTGGTAACTTGATGGCATGTACACCCACAAAGCATCTGTTACACCGGGGGTGCCCAAAAGGTAGATCCCCAGATGTTTTAAAACTACAGCGACCATGATGCTATGTCATGCTAAAGGCATGCAAAGCATCATTGGAGTTGTAGTTCTGCAACATCTGGGGATCTACCTTTTGGGCATCCCCATGTTACACAATCATGTACACACCACCTAGTCACCAGCAGAAAACAAATAAGACTTTGATCTAAACCTCTTCCTTTATACATTTGCTGTCATAGTGCCTAACAGTGAATGCGTTACAATATTGCATTATGGGATTGCAAAGGATGCACTGTAGGTACGCTCAGAGTCTAGCTGCCAGTACGGTAGTAATTTACGTAGACGGTGCAAATAACTACAGAAAGCGGTTACAAACATGCAGCCCTGCTTCTATTCTCTCCTTTACCCTGCAGTAATTTTGCTCCTTGCCAGGTGGAATGTTAGAAGCTGCCTGATGTATTCCAGACAAATGTATAAATAAAGTTATTTAGATTAACGTGTAACTTGCTTGCTGCTGGTAACTTGATGGCATGTACACCCACAAAGCATCTGTTACACCGGGGGTGCCCAAAAGGTAGATCCCCAGATGTTTTAAAACTACAGCGACCATGATGCTATGTCATGCTAAAGGCATGCAAAGCATCATTGGAGTTGTAGTTCTGCAACATCTGGGGATCTACCTTTTGGGCATCCCCATGTTACACAATCATGTACACACCACCTAGTCACCAGCAGAAAACAAATAAGACTTTGATCTAAACCTCTTCCTTTATACATTTGCTGTCATAGTGCCTAACAGTGAATGCGTTACAATATTGCATTATGGGATTGCAAAGGATGCACTGTAGGTACGCTCAGAGTCTAGCTGCCAGTACGGTAGTAATTTACGTAGACGGTGCAAATAACTACAGAAAGCGGTTACAAACATGCAGCCCTGCTTCTATTCTCTCCTTTAACCCTGCAGTAATTTTGCTCCTTGCCAGGTGGAATGTTAGAAGCTGCCTGATGTATTCCAGACAGAGAGTAAAATAAAAAAAAATGTTCTATTTTCATCAAGTGAGAATTCCACTTTCCCAGAGCGCGTCTAGGCTTCTTGCGTGTGATGAGTGATTGTGAAGCATTCCCAACACCACTTAAAGGGAATCTTTCAATACCCCACTGTATAATCATATTTGCGTTTTAAAAAAAAAAAAAGAAAGAAAGAAAAAAGCATTATTTGGCAAAATAGTTCCCCGCTACATATAGGTTTGTTTACAGAATGAGCTGGTATTTAGCATTGGACTTTTTTTTGGTGGGAAAGGAAATTATCTTCTGTACATTCCTGTAACAGCATGCAGTGGACTGCCTATATTCTATTGATTGAAAAACAGAGCAGTTACTACACTTTCCACACAGCTAGGTGTAATACTGACCTATTCTGCCGATTTTGGTTATTTAAACCTATTAAAAGTTCAGCAATAAAGGGGTTTGTTTACTAAACAGCTGATTGTCATGAATTAAAAAAACAAACTGCACATTTTGTGCAAAGGGTACTCAATTGGAAAAAAAAATCTCCAATTTAACTATAATCATGCCTTGGCTATTTAAATTAAAAAAAAAATGTTGAATACATTCCAAAATCTCAGATTAAATAATTTGATTAACTAATAATTCAAAGTGTCTTACGACCATGCTATTTTAACCCATATTTTGAAAGTCAATTCACGGTTTACCCTTATTTTGGCACAGTAGACTGTGATGCCCTTTAAAATAAAATTATCAAACATTATAATATATATTGATAACGTAGGTATTTTGGCCTAAATTTAGAAAACTTCACAGAAAGGATAATAAGGTATAAAGATTTACATTTCACATTAAATATACAAAACGCGTGAATCTCCAAGCTCACAGAAGCTTAAAAAATACTCACTTCCTCTTCCAGCTTGACCACCTTGGCCTGTGCATTGTTTAGGGCCTGATCCCGAATTTCAATATGTCTCCTTTGGTCTTCGTTAGTGGAGCGTAAAGAGGCAAGCTCCATCTCCAGCTTGTCCTTCTCCCTCTGGATATCCTTATCTAAGAGCAGAAAGGGAATAGTTATTTAAACGGTGAACAGCTCTCAAAAGGCACTTTTATTTCAAGTTTAATGATGCAGTTTATATGTCAAAATGTTCAACAAAACAAATAAATAACTTACAGGATGGAGATACTCCCATTATAATAACTAGAAGGGTGCTAAAGTGAGAATTAAAGCTGAAGTGGAAAAATTCTCTAAGTTAGCTTTGCTTTCAGTTCAGCTACTTTGGTCTTGAAAACCACTTTGAATTCACTTTAAAGGCACACTCCGATCACCACAGCAACTTAATAGAATTTAAGTTGTTATGGTGCCAAAAGGTCCCAGGGCGCTTTCTTATCTGTAATGATTAAACCGTTGTCGAATGGTTTAACCCCAAAGGTTGACTCCAGTGCTGGATCTCCATTTGCCCCAGAAGCACCCGGTGCCAATGATTGGCTAGAGCAGTCAGCTGATGTTCTACGCCAAATCATACATTTTTTTTATTATGCTCCAAATTGGCATAGAGTGTCAGCTGATCGTTCTAGCCAAGAAGCGACGTCAGTGCCCAGTGGCACTCCGCTCTTCCTGAAACTCAATTTTAGAACCCGGATGCCGCTGGGGGAACTGGAGTTGTGGCACTGGAGGCAACCTTTAGGTAAGAAAGGGCCCATGGGCCTCTGTGCACCATAACAACAACATTTCGATTAAGTTGCTATTATGACCGGAGTGTTCCTTTAAATTTTCCCTTTGGTAAATATGCCTGTATGCATCTCCCAATTGTCCTGAATTGGGAAGGACACGCAATATGTCAGAAACAAGTAAATCTGCACACGTTACGCCCTACAAGTCGGCCATCAGTCAAGGAGGTGCTCCGTGTAAATCCAACCTGAGCAATGGAGAAAATAGAAAACACAGGCTACTCTCCAAGATTCAGATGGTGTAAATTTGTTCAAAGATAATCCACCCCACCAAACCATGCAATGTTTCGGCATGATGAAGGCTCTTGGGAGCCAAAATGTAGCATTGTTTGGTGGGGTTGTTTACCCTTGAATAAAACTTACACCATCGGAATCTTGGAGAGTAGCCTGTGTTCTCCATTCACTCCATAGATAGATCATGTCCAGCTAACCCTGGAGAACTCTCTGGTTGTCCAAATTTTGGTGATGTTAATAACATGTGTCCAGAAAGTCCAACACAGAAACCTCATAACATGCCTTCATTTCTGCCCATGCATTCCCCCATGCTGCCTTTGGGGTTTAGCCAACTGGGGTGCCAGTCAGTCCAACATTAATGAAAGCCAGATTGACATGCCACCTTTATGGGATGTACACATCCAGCCACTACGTCTCTGTCCCTCCTCTCACTTTAACACACTTCTTAATGTTAAAAGGTATGCAAACAATCATTACAGCTCTTAATATCACTAGTAAGATCAAATGCAGAATGCGGTGTATCCATTTTAAAGCTTTATAGTCATACTGTTTTCCAATAAATTCTTTTGAATAAGTGTGTATTTGTCTACTGGTTTATATTTATTTTTTAAATAGCCTTGTTGATTATCAGAACGTGCCATTTTCTTTTTAAACGTTTGCCATTTTTAACAGATGTGAGTAAAGTCAGTTTTATTAAAGAAGCAGTGGATTTCACTAGCGTGAAGTAACGTCCGTGGCAATGTTCCCAGAGAAGCAAGGAATAAAGGATAAGTTACACGAGCGCATGATCTGAATAAGGAAAAGGGGAAGACTGAACGGTGATGTGAGAAACACCGTTTTTTAGAAAGGGGAGTAGATGCCTCGGAAATGAAAACTAAACAAAGTATACGTATTCAAGAGCACTCTGTATGAAACAAAGCTTATCTTCGAATATTCCCATAATGGGCAGATCATACATTTTATGTGCTCTTAGCCGTTGTTTCTAAGTAGAAGAGTCTAGCAGGTAAGTAGTAAAACATGCAACACTCTAGCTGTTGGGACTTAACTTAATGGAGGATGCTTTTCTAGTTAGACGTATACAGGAAAATAGGACTAAGGTATTTTTTACTAGAATCCTGATGACTCCATCTCCCATTTATTGCAATTGGCCTGCAAAGGTTCATGGGAACTCTGGTTTACAATCAGCTGGAGGTCCACTTCCTGATTAGCATCGATCTAGAATTCTGTAGACGCCTCCATTTACTGATGTTTCTTGGGCAGCAACATTATTTCATAGCAGCCGTAATTTTTATTTAAATGGATGTCATTGTTCATTTAGAGACTCTCACTTTGCACTGGTGCCCATGCTGTGACTCACTCAATTAAATAGTAATTAAAACCATCATCTCTTTCTTCAAAACTATGCATAAAAAAAACCATCTGGGTGTGTTCCTGAGAGATGGGTGTACCCCTATCGTAATGCTGAGAAATAACAGGATTCTAGTCGGGGACATGCCGGTTTGGGAGAAGTCTCACTTCACTGATGCCATCATCAGACTGGGAACATTCCCCAAATTTCCCATGAAAGGTCAGCATGTTCCCAGGAGAATATATTAATACGGATTATTATTATTCAGGGCGGAAACGTCACAAAATCATAATGGTCCAACCCACCAAAAAAAAAAAAAAAACAACAAATAAATAATCTACAGTTTAACTGAAGAGCCAACAACATATTTCTTATAAAAGCTCCAGGAAAATCAAACTGTATTCACAATTAATCCTGGAGAAAACCATGACTGCAAAATGTATTATGTATAAGAATATGGGCTCTGTCCGTTTGCACCATGATACACATCGTGATAAAATAATCAACCATTGCAAGGGTAAGGTCACTGAGAAAAAGGCATTAAGGTTCTTCTTCTATATATTTAGCACTGTATTGTAGTCGAGCTGGAATTGGGGATCTAAACCAAATTTAGATGTGACGCTGTAGAAGCGCGACATTAAAATTACACCAGACTTCCATCATTCAGGCTATACAAAGTAGTTCGGATTCAGCGCACTGCGTCATTTTTAATGCTGAAATGACACTCAGCATCATTATTATGGTGCTGTATCGTAGAAAGACAGGTCACGTCATTTTTGACCATGGAATGCTGCACTGCATCATTATTGTGATAAACAGAGTGTTCCACTTAAAGGGCGATGCTGAAACGGCGCACAGCATCACAGGGGGTTGGTAAATGATGCAGACTAGAGGTGGGTATCCTGACACAGGCCCCCGATCATCTAAAAGACTGTAAATTCATAAAGTTCCTATGTGTATGAAACAGACAATAAATAACTGACTGTTAAGCCACTAGAATATACTGGTTTAATAAAAATGTTCAATCTTCATTCCTATGTACCAGTTACAACAGATATACGCATATCTTTAACTTTTTTATATACATATACACTAGTCACCAGCAGAAAGCAAATACGACTTTGATCTAAACCTCTTGCCCTCAAATTCCTCTGTTGCAAGCTGCTTATTGGCTGTCTCCATGCGTTCTACAGAGAAATAATATAGCACGTTTTACCAATTTTACATTTATGAAATAAATAACTCTCCCTGCCCCTGATTCCTACCTCAGTTAAAAAAAAAAAAGGAGTAAACAAAATAGGAAGCGGTACATTACAAAAAATATTATGAACATAATTAAATAACGTGCAGTATTTACCTAAAATTACTGAAAAAATACTTTAAAAAAGAAAAAACAAAAAAGTAAAAACTTACTATAAAATAATAAAATATAGACAACACCTTATCCAAAACAATGTTCTAAAACACAAATAAAAATCAGATAAAAGATTTTTGCTTTTCTTTGTAAAACATCCATAAATGCTATTTAACACCTTAAACATGACTCTTTAATTAGTGTACTTGAGACTTTAAAAGGATCATGGAAAGTGACAGGAGTGGGATAGTTGTAGTGTAGAACACACTTCATGCTTAGCTACAAGTGCAACAGTAACAATAAAACAACAAAATGACGTAACAAGAATCCCTGAAGCCATTAACACCCAACAACTGTCAGACCAGTACAGCAACATTCCAACAGCCAAGGTTGTGGAATAGCTTGGAGTGAGTGCAAGGATTGCAAGAAAACAAGACTGAACTGAGTGTTGCCGCCCGCACAGATATCTGCTATATTTATTCACACTCTACCTACCAATATTTCAAATGCCAAAAAAAGACAGAAAAAAAAGTACTGACACAGACATGCCTTATTCACAAAACTGAAAACTGTAGAGAACTGACAAGGGAATTGTAAATGTAGCAAGTGACTATTTTCTCTACATATTCACAAAAAAACTGTTGTGTGTCAAATCCCTATAGCCACTTTTATTAAAGTTGTAACTTGCCTCATAACTTTCTACAAAATTTTATATTTAGAACTATGAGGGCACCTCTTTTTTGGTTTTTAACCATTAGATTGCTTTTTAAGTAGGCCTGTCTGGCTTCACATCACTTTACTTTTCCTTTGTTATTCGATGAAACCTTCTGATATTCTTTGGTTAAAACTACCAAATAAAGCTATAGGGGGCATCCATCTTGTTCTACTGCCTCAACTCACATGCTGTTAAATAAAAAAAATAAAAAAAATAACAACAACTTTATAAAGTGATGAACAATCTACAAGATTAGTAGTTGCGTAGCGCATGGGAAAAAAAGACCAAATGGTGTAATAAAAAGACCAAATGGTTTATTTAATTCAATTTCAATTTTAGTCTACAAGAAGGGTTCCAGGTTTCATTCCCTTAACCTATTTTTTCGGAAGTACTCAACTCTACAGAGAATTGTGACAATATCCATCACAAAACCAGGTGATTATAGAATATACAGATTACAAAATGTTGCTTACTGATCATTTCTAGGGGAATATAATTTCCCTTTAATATATTTATGTGAAAGGGAAAACACAATTAAAAGTTTTTAAAAGTTATTTATCATAGTTATTATCCCAAGCATTAACAATCAAGTTCCGTGATGTCTTAATCACTGTAACTGTGGCTCAATGAACAGTCATTTTGACAGTAAGAGTGACCTACAGACAGGCAGGGAGAGTGACTCCACTAGTTCAATGAGGTCAAATTGCAAAATCAAGTATATTTCTAATAGTAATTAGGCTGTGGATGGGAATTTGCATCACGCAGAGCGTCCATAGGAAATCATTGAGAAATGCTTTTTTATGGACTGTTTGAATGCGCACGCGGCACTTGCCGTGCATGCACATTCCGCTCCACTCAGGAGCTGACGTTGGCAGGGGAGGAGAGGTCACCAGCGCCAAGGGAGCCCGGCGCTGGAATAAGGTAAGCTGCTGAAGGGGTTTTAACCCCTTCAGCGCCATGGGAGGGGGTTCATGAGGGAACCGTTTTGTTTTCCTGACACTATAGTGATCCTTTAAAGACGACATCACTGATAAAGCGGAGTTTGTCTAGTGTCGCCTTGACCCGATTCTATATTTTTTGTAAAGATTTCTTGTTGCTATGGCTCCACCATATTTTTGTTGAATTCATTTTTATTTTTTTCTCATGTTTCGGTTTCTACGAGGTAGCTCCTTTTTCTGACCCACTGGGTGTGGAACTTGTTATACAAATATAGAATTCCCAAAAAGAGTCAGTAATTTAAGAAATAAAAATAACTGACAAATTATATATATATTTATTGTGCTCAAATGGGAATTGTCTCTCCTCAGGATTGCGCTATGTCTATCAAAGAGTTGATGCTCTCAAACAATGTGTGTGGCCCTGCATCGCCCTATTCAGCATGCATAGTGTAGCGAAGTGCATTCTCCTGCAAGGAAAATTTTAAGCCAGGACATGCAGATATTGGGACATAATATTTAGTAGTTTCATTGACAAAAATATCCATGAAACTATTCAGCAAGCTAACAGAGGCTTCAGTACTGCTTTTGTTTTCGATCTGGTTTGCTTCATTCATGGTTTTTCATGAAGGAAGCTACTCACAGTCAGGCCGCATACAGCTGCTGCACAGGCAATTGCTCACACAAAAAGCTATGAGAGAAACTGTAAACGTCACTACAGATTTGCCCTCCATACCCATGCAGAGATTTGACAATTCAGATGCATTGAATAACTAGGATAGGCAACACACTCTCTGAAATCCTGAGTAAGGAACATGGTTGGTCATGGAGCTCGGTGTGTACCTCTAAACATAAATCATTAGCCTATGATGGTTTACCATATAATCCGTGAGGACCAGAAATACACAGTGTAAAACAGAAATTCAGGAGAAAAGCCTTATCTACATATCAAATAACTCACTCTGTGATAGAAGCTGGGATATCGTTTTGCGGTTGTCTTCTGAGCCCTCAAATTCATTTTTTGCAAGCTGCTTATTGGCTGTGTCCATGCGTTCTAGATAGAAACAATACAGCAAGTTTTACATCTATGAAATAATTAATATTGAGCCTAAAACACACCTTAGAAAGTACGCAGACGCACATACACAGGGCTTAGAGACTGCACAAACTAATTGGAATCTCCAAAATGACCTTCATCTAATGCACAAATCACATGAATTGATAAACTAAATGTTTTGCCCACACTAAAGGAACACTCCAGGCACCATAACAACTACAGTTTACTGTTGTGGTTATGGTGCAATGAGTGCTCTGGTGCCCCGTTATTGTAAGGGTCAAACTGTTTTCAAATGGTTTGACTTCTTACCTAAGCTCCACGGGTGCTTGCACCTTCACTGCCATGGCTGTAGGAGGATATTCTGTTAGTACTAGTTGACTGCACTGCAATGCGGTCAACTAGTGATCTCAGCCAATGACCTATGCCCTGCATTGAGAGCTACTGAAAGTTCTTGCTGGGGAACTTCCGTTACTCTGGACAAGGTAGTGGAGGTGGCCAGCGCCCGTTGGATCAAGGGTAAGAAGTCAAACTATTCGAAAACGGTTTGACTTCTTAAAATGTGGGGGTGGCAAGGCTGTAATAACATCAAATTCTAGTGGTTTGGTGCCTGAATAATGTTAGTAGAAAAGAAAGCTAAAAGACAAATGTAGGTGAAAACGGAAGATTAGGGGAAACTGCTACATTGTAGAAATTTTCATAAACGTGATTCTTTTGCAATTCAGTTGTCGATTTATTACTCTAGTAAACCCTAGAATCTGATATTCACGATAACTTGGCTGCACATGAAAAAGACTGAGAGAACCAGTTTACTTAGAATGGCTGGAAGACTTATCGCTGTTAACCGAATACCCATTTGTCCATATACTACACTACAAAATCTGTTAAATCTGAGTTAACAAGCTGTGGAAATGCGTCTTGGGTAGTAGAACACAGTTCATGATGCATGTCATTCCTAAGTAGGATGCTTCGTTTTTGTGAGTGGGTTGGAATTTATCGACACCCATAGGAATAGTTCAACTGTGAAAACTCCCAGCATTATACAGAAAACTGGTCTGGGCAGGATACCTGAACTGTAGTGTCATATTAATAATTAACCCCAAACTTCCAAAACGCATGCCATGTTGATACCCATAAAGAAATAAAAAATGTAGAGAAAGGGATAAATGTAAAAGGTAGATACGTTTACAAATGGCACAAATATCTGAGTGAAAGTTATACTGCTCTAAAACTCAATGGCTTAAAGTCTGTGCAAATACGCTCCAATGAATTGATTATTCTTCCAAATTCTATTATTCTGCCTTCAAATGGTTCCACTAAAATGCTATTTGCAGAACCTAGCATTTCCTGTTTCATTGTCTTCCTCACCACTCCAAAGATTGTCACAGTTATTGACTAGAATGGATAATGTTGAGAACTGACAAGGTAACAGCAATTTTAGGCCAAAATAATAAATAGGTCAAATAGGAGCAAATGCAGAAAGATAAGTCCTGCGCTCATTCCCATCACTGGGCGGCCATCCCATGTGTTCCCTATTAAGGGTTAATAATATATAGGGGTGTATATAAAAGATACCCCTTTCTGTTTTATTGGAGGCCTTTGCCAGAAGCTCAAGGAAACAGGGTGAATGGTTAGAGTTAGGACCCACCTAGGGGGGTCTGCCTTGACATTGGCAGATGGGCTTATCTTCTCATGGCCATTGGAGGTAACTAAAAAGCCTCCATTTGTTTAAAAATACATAGGGATTAAGGAGAGAGCGCAGGTAACTTGTTGTTTTTTTAGGTAAAATAGGAGAAATTTTCAAAAATTTGCAGTTTCTTCCTCAGTTCTACAAAAAAGTTAACACAGTTATTCATTCAGCCATGGCTTGCCTGAAATTCACTTGTGGATTTGAACATTTTGGCCAAATTAGTCAAATTGACTAATTAGGTGTGTGAGATATGTTTCCAGCTACTTGCCTCAAATGTGCAATATATTTATGAACTCAACAGTTTATCAACTCTGTTAGCACTTCTTGTGAAGAGGCCATTTTTTTCCCAAGCATGCATCTGGCCACAACCTCCCAAAATGCAATCTTGGCAATTTACACGTGTGCCCTAAATGTCAATACGATGAACTGTACTTAAATTCATCATGAAAATAATCAAAATAAAAATCTCTAAGAAAAATAATGTTCAAGAGATTAGCATACAGGGTTTATTTTGAATTGGATAAAGAAAACTATGCAGTTATTATTTCTGCAAACAATTAAAACAAAAGGAATTTTATCATTGTGTAAATAAAAGTAGTACCTCTGAGGTCTCTGTTAAAGTCATGAATCCTCCGGATCTCACCCTCTAGTTTAGTTCTCATGGCTTTTTCCAACGTCTCTCTCTTGGAGGAAGATTTGACAAGATTCTCGTACGCTTCGGAAACTCTCTGAATTTCCATTTCCATCTTAAAAACAGACAAAGCAGAGTCAGCAGGCATACGGCCAATTATACACTCCCTCTGTAATAAACACCCTGCACCTGTTCCCTCCCTAAATGAAAAGTAATATGCTACCTTACACAATGCAGTACAACAGAGTTATGCAGAAAATAAAATAATACATTACCTCCTGAAATGTACAGATCAAAGAAACAATGAAGGTACTTGTGTATAATAGTTGGCGGCCAGTCAAAATAAGTTGGCCAAATCTGCAAACACAACCAACGTATAGCCACAGAGGCCAACAGGACAAAGGAATAAATGACAGCAATATAAAATCTCAATAGAGTGTTCTTACGGAGCAAAGATCAGATAAGGACATGAAAGAAACATATGCGTTGTTCCACACAGACAATCAAAGTACTTAAAAAAATATTCTTCATTAAAAAAAACTGTTGGATACAAATATGGCAGATGCCCATTGTCAGAGCTGAAATGGCTATAGCTTTCACGATGTTTGCCTAGTTATCACACGGATTGGAGGCTCTTCTGCTATTGGATAAGAACTACATCAAACATAGTTGAACTCATTAGATTTTGGAACCTTGCCTTGTTAATGCTACAATGGATGTTCTCTACAGAAAAACACTGTCCCTTAGTAAAGTGTCTTTTAATTTCCAAACATTAAAAAATAAGAAGGCAAAACATACTTTTTGAAATCTTGCGACTTTGTCATAGCATCCTTCCAACTCTTGCCGCAAAGACCGGTTCTCCTCAGACAAAACAGCGACCATTTGTTGTGCACGAGACACAATGGCAAAGGGGTCACCTTGCATCGGAGAAAAAGGTGAAGGCAACTGGGGAGGTCTTGACAGATTTGGGTCCATCTGTGGTGGTGGTTGTTGCTGTTGCTGCATTTGTTGTTGCTGTCCCATGTAAGGCTGAGACAAGCGGTAATAGTCTCCTTGGTGGTACTGATTGGACATGGGTACATGCTGAGATCGTGGTGGCCCACCAAAGAAGTCCACATGACTCGGGGATGGCAGCTGCTGGTGCTGAGAAGGAGACATGCCTGATGGAGGAGGAGATTGAAGAAGGCTCATAGATCCCAAAGATGTAAGAGAAGAGGTGGGACTGTGGTAGTGCGATGAGGATCGCTGTTGGAATTGTGGCTGTACATCCTGGTTTTGCCTGTGGAAGACAAAGTACATTGATAAAACATTTAAAACAAACAAGAAATGCTAAGTCATTTAACAACTATGCTGAATGCAATAAAAGCGCATGCCGTATCTTTGCTAAAGCCATAAAATATGTTGCCACCTTTGGTTTAAAAAATGGGTAGCCAACTTCCCCACACACCCCAAGGTGTTTGAAGCTAGCAGAGCATAATGAGAGTTGTAGTCTACCTAGGGGAACAACTGCTTTTTAGTATACACATCTTACATGTGTGGAGATATTTTAACACAAACCTTCCCTTGCTTACATTCAAAATATGTTACTAATTACACAATCCGGACAATAAAAACCAAATTCCTACATGTTACATACAAACACAGTCACGCTGCATGCACTGGTTTTAGTGCAATTGTTGCAGATTTATATTTTATAGATCCAATACTTATACCCAGATAAACAGGACTACTTCATTCTTTGAACAATATTAACAAGGTGTACAAATACATTTTATAACATATTCTATAAAAAACACAAATTATTCCTACATACAGAAAATAGCTCAATATAAACAATATGCATAGAACACTGTACATACATGAAAAGTAGGCACCTGGCCCAGATTAAAACCACAGATCTCACAATATATCAAGCTTTTTTCGAAGTATCCATGCGTCAACACCCCCTTCTTGGCATCTTCTCCAAGCATTGCTTCATCGCATATATTCCATCTTTTGTAGGATAAAATCCCAGTTCAGATCAACGCAATGCTTCCAGTCAGTTTTGCTGTATGGCTGATGTTCTCATAGATAAGCTATGCCGACGCACACTTGTCTCGAGAAGTAAAGAAAGTAAATTCTTTAAATGTAGAGTGAAGAGTGATTCTCTCACTGCTCCTGAAGCTGATCGAGAGCATCAACCTTCCTTCCCACGTTGGGAGAAGGTGGATCTGTGACTGCTTGTGTGTCACTAATAAGAATGTAGGTCATCTTTCTCATAATCACCATTCAAAGTTGTCTTTTACCTGATATTGTGAATATACAAGACTGGTTTCCCAGCCTTGCTTTTTAATTACCATCTCTTACAGCGTAAATCCAATCACACAAGCCCTTATTAAAAGATCAAGCTCTTGTAAACAAATGTTAAACAAAATAAAACTACCGGTTTAAAAATTGTCCTGCAGCGTATAAAGTCCTGCACGAATTCACATGATGCAAGAAATGCAAACAAAATTGTGTGCCATAGAAAGTGAATAAAATTATTATTTTTTTTTTTAAAGGGGAAGACACATAGGTTTTTTTATGTTAAATAAGTATATGTATTTTAAAACATTAGACTGCGTTTTGAAATACTTTTATTGCTGTGGAAAAACTGAACATCTCTGATAGAAACTATTGTAAAAAACAATTAAATTTTTTGATTCTGTTGATGTGGATGTAGCTACCAGATGGGAAGGTTAAAAAGGTAATTAGTGGAGCGCTTCAGACAACATAAACAAACATTTATATAAACCCAAAATCACCAATACCGAAAAAAATAAAGTCAAAAAAATCAAAAGATAAAAACACAATAGTGCAGATGGTACTATGTGTATATAAATAAAATACACTTTGTGTCAAAGAACTTTTAAATGCCAACTCACATGAATTAGAGCTTAGATTTTGGCTCTAATTGATCTCTATTGGAGTCTTGTGCAGGGAACCCCTTCCCTCCCTCGATAGGTATCTCTTTGCTCAAGGATAAGGACAACATGAAAGAAATATAGTGTAGTATATTTTAGAACCAAATAAATGTAAAAACCATATATAATACCACTCACATGTTTTGGAACCTTAAATTAGGATCACAGTGCATCTATTTGTCGGGCGATGCAACCCCAGGTGGTGAATTAAGTTAAACGGTCCTCAATAATTTGATGCAAAGACTTTATTAATATAAGCAAAAATAATTAAATAAAACAATAACGAACAATACAATGAAATCTCTATATAAAAGCACGATATCCTCTTATTGAAACTATATTTTTTCAGTCATGGTGATTTTGAGATATTATATATATAATGTTTATTTATGTTGTGTTAAGCAATCCACTAAGTAACTTTTATTGTAACAACCTTCCCATCCAGTAGGAGAACCCACCTCAACAGAACCAAAAACAGGGTATTTTTTTTTACTAGTGGTTTCTTTCCAGCACAGTTTGCTTCTGAGATGTTCAGTTTTTTTTCACAGCAATAAAAATCGTTCAAAACACAATCTGATGTTTTAAAATATTTATACTTCTTTAACAGAAAAAAAAAATAACATTTATTGTTATTACTTTTGGTGTTAGAGAATACACTTTAGAGTGCGAAGCAGCTTGTTTAGTAGAAATATCCTAAACACGTCTTTTAGATAGAAATGTAAGTGCCTTGATATACACTTCGTTTCTCCTTTTGGATGGGAAAGTTAGTTAGACATAACTACAGCAAAGCGCAAGTTACATTTACCACCTGCAGACCTTAGATGAACTTGTCTGCTGACTGTGGAGGAGTGAAAGGGGGGATACAGCTAAAGAGGGGAGAATGGGGGGGAGGGGGAGAACTATGGAAACTAGAAATGACATGAAATAAAATAGACAAGAGAGTACAAGAGAAAAAGCACAAAGTATAGAAAGGACGACACTACAGACAGAGCAATGGAAAGAGGGGCACATGATTGACAGAGAGAGCAATAAAGCTCCACAGACAGAAGGAAGGGGACAACATGTAGATTAATTGCTAATACTAATTATTATTATTATTGCGATTTATATAGCGCCAACAGATTCCGTAGCGCTTTACAATATTATTAGAGGGGGGATTCGACTAAAAATAGGACAATTTCAAGAAAACTTACAAGAACGAAGGGTTGAAGAGGGCCCTGCTCAAACGAGCTTACAGTCTATAATTATAACTGTATTTTAGAGCATGGCTGGCCAAAATAGTAGATCCTTAGGTGTTTCACGACTACAAGTCCCATGTTGCTTTATCACCTGTAACGTTGGCAAAGCATCATGGGGGTTGTGATTCTCCAACACCTGGAAATCCACTCCCTGGTCAAAACTGAGGCTCCATCCCAACAGTAACAAAAGGTTTGTGTTTCACAGTATTGTGTTTAAACTGTTGCAAAATAAGCATGAAAAAATAACTAGGGTGTTGCGTATAAAGTTATTATGCTGTAATGTGTGAGACTGGCTATTTCTGTATGAATAATAAAAAAAAAACCCTCTACTGATAGCAGGTACTAAGCATGGATGCTTAGATCACAAGCCTTGATGCCATAATACTGCAATTTACATTGGTTGGTAATACCATGGCTCACCTGCTTACACCGCCACAGACAATGCTTATACCTTATAAGGGATCCCAGCTTCAGCACAGAATACTTTCTGCTCAATTTGAGTTATAAAGATAATTTGCATAAGTGATACTCTCTTGTTTTATTTGAAAATGTTGGTTCCTGGTTTGGATTTTCCTTCACACTATAACATCATGATGATGATGATGAAATCATCTTGAAAGAATAGTAAGCTCTTTGTATCAAAACACATGTAATTACTGTTTTATCAGTTAATACATCCCAGGCAGTAAAGTGATACATTCTATTGATTTATGTTAATAAGATCAATCTGTTACTTCGGGCAACTCTATATTGTTTCGAAAGATACCTACAGGCCCTGATAACATATTTTATAATGGCACCTGGGAAGTTAAAGGGAAAAGGATCTCTACTGACACAGTTCTTCCTATTTTGGCACCATCATCTTTTTTTCCTTTCTCCTGCCATGCCAAGAGCTGAGGAAACTTTGCACTATTGCGCATGTATGACAGTACAAAGTAGAGATCTATGGAATAGCATGCAAGGCAGCAGAACCTTCCATAGATCTTTTTATGAAAGCATAGAGAGATGCCAGAGGCGCGCATTGCACATCATCAGCTGTTTTTTTTTTTAATGATACTTATGGGAAAAGTCACGTCAAGGCAGCTGAATATTAAAGGAACACTATAGTCACCAAAATTACTTTAGCTAAATAAAGCAGTTTTAGTGTATAGATCATTCCCCTACAATTTCACTGCTCAATTCACTGTCATTTAGGAGTTAGATCACTTTTTTTCTGTTTATGGAGCCCTAGCCACACCTCCCCTGGCTATGATTGACAGAGCCTGCATGAAAAAAAAAACTGGTTTCACTTTCAAACAGATGTAATTTACCTTAAAGGACCACTATAGGCACCCAGACCACTTCAGCTTAATGAAGTGGTCTGGGTGCCTGGTCCAGCTAGGGTTAACCCCCTTTTTTTTTTTTTTTTTTAAAGAAACATTCAGAGAAACTGCTATGTTTACACGGAGGGTTAATTCACCCTCTAGAGGCTGTTTCATTGACAGCCGCTAGAGGAGCTTGCGTGCTTCTCACTGAAAATCACAGTGAGAAGACGCCAGCGTCCATAGGAAAGCATTGTAAATGCTTTCCTATGAACTGGCTGAATGTGCGCGCATTCAGCCGATGACATCGCTAGGAAGGAGGAGAGGAGGAGGAAAGCTCTCCACCCGGCGCTGGAGAAAGGTAAGATTTTAACCCCTCCCTCTCCCCATAGCCCGGTGGGAGGGGGACCCTGAGGGTGGGGGCACCCTCAGGGCACCATAGTGCCAGGAAAACAAGCATGTTTTCCTGGCACTATAGTGGTCCTTTAAATAATTGTATCTCAATCTCTAAATTGAACTTTAAATCACATACAGGAGGCTCTTGCAGGGTCTAGCAAGCTATTAACATAGCAGGGGATAAGAAAATCTTAATTAAACAGAACTTGCAATAAAGAAAGCCTAAATAGGGCTCTCTTTACAGGAAGTGTTTATGGAAGGCTGTGCAAGTCACATGCAGGGAGGTGTGACGAGGGTTCATAAACAAAGGGATTTAACTCCTAAATGGCAGAGGATTGAGCAGTGAGGCTGCAGGGGCATGTTCTATACACCAAAACTGCTTCATTAAGCTAAAGTTGTTCAGGTGACTATAGTGTCCCTTTAATTAACAATGCCATGGTTTAGCTGCATCCTTAAGGCTTACATACAAGTTCTTTATAATGTAAGCTTTCGCAAGCTTCTCATACGCATTGTATCCTCATTAAACTCATAGATCCACTTTAAAGTGCTACTCCAAGAACCATAACCATTTCAGTGATTTGAAGTGGTCATGGAGCCTGGAGTCTGTATGCGCGGCGTTTCACTATGAAATGCTGCACAATCCCATCGTACCTCGCTGCAGAATGTGTTGACGAGTTATGAATAATAATACAGCGTTTAAACCCATTGACTGCTGGAGATAGAACTCCACCTCCGTCAAGGGGTGTAGCGTCGAGGGGTGTCATTAGTCAGCCCAGAGCTCTAAATTAATTCCTGTGCAAATTTATTGGCTCACCCTTTCAACCAATGAATGGCAGCTGGAAATGTATCAACCAGCCTCCAGGAGACTGAGTTCGACAGCGACCCAGGTTAGAGGGCAATCCTTAGTTAAATGCTTTGTCTCTTTACTGGGGAACCGGGTCAGGGTACTACCACCATCATAACCACTACAGCGGGTTTTTAGTGGTTATGATGATTTTTCAGTAACATATCATTTAAATAATGTTTATTAATTTGATCCTTTCTACATGCACTTTTTTCCCCTCTTTTTCCTACTTGAAATAGCCTGAAAGACTGATACTCTGCATTTATGCAAGTTCAAGAATGGTTAGTACAGCTGCAATTATTGCAATTATATGACTCCCATTTCATTCCAATGGTAAAGATTAAGACAAATTGCTCTGAAGTATGAGAAAGGTTATACGTACAAAACCACTGCAATCTGAACTAGACGGCAGGGGTTAACAACGCAAAATCTGGGTACACAGCCTGTGCAGGATGATAGATAAGTCTTTTGTCTGGTCTTGAAGTTCCAGCTGGGCAGTCAAAGCTGCAGGAAGTACTTTTGTGAGAGGAAACCCAGCCATAGCTGAACGCACAAAAGTCTAGCAAGAGTTTCACTTGCATAGAAGCAGAATCGCCCTGGTGATCCCACTGCCGACTATAGTCACGCACAAAGCAGCCAGAATTAGCAAGTGCAGTTTTAAAACAGCAGGAGACATAAATTACACCCACAAAAGTCACACCACTATCATTCCCATAATGCTTTGCAAATCTTAAAAGAAAATGTTCACACAAAACACTTTTTTTCTTTTAAAGTTTTTGAGTTGGCTTCAATAATGAAAACCCTGTGTGTGCATCCAGCGATGACAGGTGGCATAATCATGATCTGTAAACACACAACAAAACCAGGTACGGAGTGTATCTTCAGTTGGGTAAACAATGATTCTCACAAGCACAATATTCCAAACTGCAGATCATCTTGCGTACGCAGTGTTGATGTGTGTTCATAGACGAAAATTAAAATAAAACTTATTAGAGAACAAATTTTTTAAAATTACAACAGCAGTGGGGTCTACGTCTTGTGAATGAACACAAAATGCACAAAGTGTTTTTTTTATGAGATATAATTATTTTATAGAACCATAGAATGTGACGGCAGATAAGAACCAATCGGCCAATCTAGTCTGCCCAATTTTCTAAATACTTTCATTAGTCCTTGGCCTTATCTTATAGTTAGGATAGCCTTATGCCTATCCCACGCATGCTTAAACTTCCTCACTGTGTTAACCTCTACCACTTCAGCTGGAAGTCTATTCCATGCACCCACTACCCTCTCAGTAAAGTAATACTTCCTGATATAGAAATTAAATATTTTTTTAAGGCATGTTTATTAACTTTTACTCTGTTGTGAGGAAATAAAATAAATTGTATGAATATATCAATGTGGCGATTAAATATAAATGCATGAGTGACAATCAGTAAGTTACAGTTCCATCACATTCCAGAGAGAAGAGTCTCTTGATGTAGAGAATTACAGCGGTAATAATCCTGTGTCTGCAGTGAAACATGACTCACTGACTGTGTAACAAAGGTATTTTCAAATGTGCTTGTATGATCTGATGTGCGTCTCAGCCAATCAGAATGCTATACAGAACACACTCATTTCCACTTAGAACCAGTAGGGGAATGCATTCCACAAACAAACGTCTCGCTGTGTCCTATTCAACAGGCAACATTCTAGTCATTGGAAATACAATATGAAACACAGACAACGCTGATGTAGCATGAACATTTTAGTCTTTAAGGGGTTAATAATAGAATAAACTATTTGAAACCTTTAAGATCACAACAACTTTTAGATTATTGCTAAATGTCTCACTAAACACACAATTATAAATCACTGGAAACTGGATTTTTAAAAAAAAAAGTAGAATAAAATAGGTAAGATATGACTATGACAGATTTGGAAATATACACTAAAATAGCCAAGCGTTCGCTATGGATGAGTTAGAGAATCTTTTACATTTTAAAATTCGGTTTTTCAATTCTCAACAGTTGGGTGTTTGGGGATTAAACGGCAGACAAGTTTAAATGTGTATGTACAGACAATAAAAACTGTGTAAAACGGATTAATAATCATATGGACTTCAATGGACTTCCAACACAATCCAAAGATATCATACAACTTTAATAACAATCAATGAATTCATTTAAAAAAAACAAAAAAAACCAAACAACAATAGATATAACAACTGGCGATAAAAGCAGGAAACCCAAGGAATTGTGTTATGAGCATTTAGCAGTGTTGGATACAGTTATCTTGTTGTAAGGTATTTTTATACGCACACATTTTTGGAAGGTTGTGTGGAACTACAGAGAAAAAGCCACAAAAATGTCTGATCACATTTACAGATTCTGAAAACACAAAGTATCCATAGTCTCTTTTTTTGGACAGTGGGGAAGTCTCAATGACTCACGTAAATCTCATCAGCAATAATTGTGTAAAGTAGACCCATCATGAAAGGAACACTCTAGCTCTATAACCACTAAAGCTTATTGAAGAGATTATGGTGCTTAAAGTGAACCTATAATTAAAGTTTTCATCCATTTACTCTATATCTTAATAGCTAACTTAACATGATGAAGCTGACCAGATATTGTCAGAACAAATTTAGCCAATTAGTGCTCTTACATACATACCTAAATTTTCATTTATTAACCCAGTATTAAACATCTGTGCAGTAATGGCTAACTCAATATAGGAGTTGCAGGCCACGTGCATGATGCAAGTGTTTCTTGTAGTCCTGTGACTAGTTGGGGTGCATTTTCAATGAGACATAATTGGCACTATACTAGGGGCACCATGAGGACCAAATAGGGGCAAGGCTTATTTAGAGATACACCAACATTCAGGCAAAACTGATTCACCCATTTTTTCACAAATTACTACCTCTTTTCTATCCATGGTCCACCCATAAACCCATTTCATTCGATGGTATTGAGGGACGGGCCTTTAATATTGTTTTAGCCTATTCTGTGTTCTCTGACTTTAAAACATGACCCATTAGATGTCATCGAACGTTAAGCCTTGGATTTACAACATTATTGTATCATTAAGTTCAAAGACTATGGTAATCAGTCGCCTTTTATTTCCCCCAGCCTGGGCGAGACAAACGTGTTCTGCCCTGCAATTCTGCATTCACCAGTCTGAAACAGAATATTTAGGATGCGTTCATCATTAGATCATTCTCTGTAACATTTATTATGCAGAAAACTTTCACAGCTAATCTCCAAGAGTCCTGCCAGGCTGTAACAATGCAATGATGCGGCCCTGTTCACTGGGACATTTTTTCAGAAACAGTACAGCATCAAAGCATGACTTATGATCTACAACGGTCTCCATCCCATAAGACACAAGAGGGATTCAGAAGTTGCAAGGGGACACTGTGTACATGTATTTTATCAATATGAGTGTATTTTAGGGCTGTGTGAGGCCAAGGTCTTCTATATTTTTACAGATTACAACCACAAAGCATGTATTTATTATAATTGTCACTAATTAAAATCATTGTATGGTCAGCCTATGTACATACTAAGCATTCAAATAGACCAAGGTAAATTAGGTATCTTTTTAATCACTAAATCCCCAGATCACCTTTCCCAGAGAGCCACACTAGTGTTGCTTTTACACAAAGGTGATTAAAACTGTAAATTTTAGGTAAAAAAATAGGACTCTGAAAACATAGCTGAACTGGAGATTTTTTCCCCAGTTTTGATATTTTGGTCTAAAATTTTATATTCGGGGCGGAGCCTAACTGCAGAGCCACGCAGATGCACCTCGCTAGAGCTCCGGCTGAACCGCGACAATAAAGGAGTTTTTGCTGACCTGACCGGGCTGCCCCACGATCGGATCACACACTAGAGGTTGGGGAACACTCCACAGACCACCTCGATCCGCAATAGGAGTGCAGACGAGAGCGTCTACGGTCACAGTAAGAGCCACGGCCTACTACACGCAAGCAGACGGGAGGCAGCCGATCCTTCTGCTCAGGGGATTGCCATCCTGTGTAGACACCGCCAGACCTCCTCCCACCCCGCTGGTGACTGTGATCCCGGCAACGCTAATGACCACAGAAGACATGGGGCGCAAGCACAAACGGCAATGTCAGACGGAGAGGCTAACATCACAGGACATAAGGCTGTCCTTTGAGAGAACCCTTCCGCCACTACTCACCAATATGGCACCTGTACTCCACAGTATACAAGACGCCTTTAATGATTCCCCTGAGGAGGAGGAATTATGTATCTCACCGCACCCAGCAGGAGTGTATCAAAGAGTTGAATCAGATGAGGACTCATTCCCATCTACAAAGGAAGATATCAAACGATTGCTGGTAGAGCTGAGAAAAGTGTGGAAGTCAGGCCTACAGGAAACATGAGCCGACATAAAGGTACTGCAACAAAAAGCGGAAGCCGTGTAAGAAAGAGAACTGGACACAGGTCACTCAACTTCAGGCAACTAAGCAGCAAGTAGAGGGTCTCACCACACAAGTTAAACAGCTACACAAGATGGTGCTCACATTGGAGTCTCGACACCGGCGCCTCGCAATGTACGCCTAAGAGGGATACCTGAACAGGTGGAGGGAGGGGACATAGTCATACGTTCAAAGACTGATTGCCTCAATGAGTATTCAAAATACTACAGACACCCCATATATTCTGGCCGCTTTTCAAGTACATAAATCAGCAGACGCACCTAGAAACATTATTACGACAACCAGAGACATTGCAGTGAGGACCGCTATAATGAGCAAATCCAGAAACATGGGAGCAGTGCATTTTGAGGGTCATACTGACTCCATTTACAGCGACCTTCCCTTCTCTGTCCTCGCAGGAAAAAAAGACAGTTGGCACCAATTAGTAGGAAGCTTCGAGACTGCTCAGTCAAATACCACTAGAATGCAGAGGACTCTCTCGCTGTCACACACGGCACTGAAACACTCACCCTGTCCTCCTCTGATAATCCAGAGGCGCTCTTTCACAAACCGGCCGCCAGCATACCAGAGGAGACAAACCGAGTGGATGTCCCGCACAAGAACAAGGCCCCAGAGCGAGCGGTCCTACGGGGCAACCTGGCCTAGCAACATTTGCCTGACACCAGGGACAGTATTAGAAATACCACTGATGCCTTAGTTCACTTTTCAATAAGCCAATTTTCCCTTTTTTTTTTTTTCTTTCTCAGGCTTCATTGCTGTTTGATAACATGGCTAAGCCATAACTTTGTTTGTTGCTCCTTTCTTAGGCTTAAAGTATTCTTCAATTGTTTACTTCTTACATATATTGCCATATATGTATACAAAGTGTATAACTCTAATAAAACACAAATTTTATTTTTTTTAAATAAAAATAATTTGATATTTATCATTTTGAATTCATTCAGAATTTCACAATTTAGTCAATAACCCTGTTTTTTTTGTTTTGCAAGAACACATCATACATGTAAATGTACACATCACAACCGTGAAACAGAGTTATTAATTATTAGGACTCTAAAATCACCATAACTACTACATTTCTCACAGACTACCTTTGATGTTACACTAGTTTAACACTACCACATCGGCAGGTCAAACTTTGGTTGCAGAGTGAGTCGCGTTTTTTGTGAAACCACACAAACAATTTGACAAGAGGTCAGTTCATGACACCAAAGGATCCTTGCACTATTACCAAAACAATAAACAGTATTTAGATTAATGAAAGATGAAATCAGTAATAAACTGCAAATATTCCAGATATCATCTGCAAAGTTACCTTTCAGCCTTTTCAATAAATAACTAGACAATTTGTAACTATTGTCATATCTTTCTTTTCACACTTCTTCCAAATGCACATATGCTAAAAACTTGCAGATTCCATATTACTGAACAGAATACAAATAAACCACAAGAATGTCATGACCTACCTGGGAGCTCCATATTCCGGAGGTGGTTGGTATCGAACCATAGGGCCATCTGAGCGGTTCTGCTGGTTGTTTCTGTGGTCTCCATAATGATGTCCAAATTCCTTTGATTTTCCTTGTGAGGGAAGAGTGGAAATATTTTTGTATGGGTAATCAGGTGGAGGCCCCCTGTGTTCCATCACCTTCTGCCCCCCACTCTGTGAGTGATTCCTGTATATTTCATTGGATCCAGGATTCTTGTAGAAGTCACCAGGCTGTGGAGAAAGTGGCGCACTGGTGACAGGTGCATGTGCTTTCACCCCACTTGTTGCCAATGAAAGTTGCATTAGTCTTTCACTTAGGGACCGAACATGGCCCTGTTTGAGGTCCTTCAACCCATCATCCTGATGAACTTTCCCAGGACTCACCCTTTGGACAGTGGGTCGACCCTCAGTCCTCATTTTTGGATTGGTAACTCCAGTCACATAGAATGCAGCACCAACACTTGCGTGTGGCTGCCCTCGGAAGTATTGTGACTGGACCTTGGCCTCCTCATAACTTGGAAGATCTTCACTGTTTTGAGATCTTATTGGCATCTGTTTCTCCATCATGTTCTCCACCTGGATCTCCTGCCCTTGAGGCTCCTGGCGGGCTGCATGTGGATTCAGCTGGGGATCCTGAGAGGTCACTCCTTCGTTCTGTGACCCTTGGCCACCACCATATGGAGGCACATTCGCCGTGGCTTGTTGGTGCAAGGCCAATAGGTTGCGATTTTCATTAGGATTTCCGTAACGAAGCTGCTCCTGCAGCAATCTCTGCAACACTGTTGTGGCTGCTTGCTCTTCTGATGACCTCATCTCCAACGGCGGTGCCTCTAGGTTGGAATCTGAATGACCTGAAAAAGTAGTGGGAAAATTGCAAAATTATTTTCAATGCAAACTTGTCAACAAAAACACAAAACCCAAAATAATATAATTGACAACTTATCCGATTGCCAGCAAATGTATACATTAAATCTTATGCAAAATATTTCCACTTCAACCTTTACATTTGTGTTTTTGTGTTAATAACTACGAATATAGCAATAGTACAGGGTGCGTACATACTTGCTCATCAATGTGGCATGCAGCATCCCACAATGTCTTGCTTGCCTATGCGTTCTAGTGATATATGCAGGATGTAATATACGGTGCAGACAGATAAATATTTATAGCATGGGAATAGAGCCCTCTTCATTCTACCAATAACTAAAGATTTTGCTACATAAAAATATCAGTTGCACCAGACAATTTAATTAAAAAAAATATATATATATAATTGGCCACGTTATCTGAAGGTACAGAAGACTAGAAAATTAGGTTCACACTGCAACGTGGAATACTAATAAACTAGTTTCTTTACCTGCAGGTGCTCTTTAGACTAGACGCCGTTCAAAACACACACACAAAAAAAAATTTAAAAAAAAAAATCTATGATGCTGTAAAACCCTTTATCGATTTACCAGAAATGTGGTCTTTATAAAGCCGAGCAAGACTTCTTAGATGTTGGAATAAACATTACTTTGACATGTGGCTTTTTTGTGTTTTATTCAATACCATGTATTGGCAGTTGTGAAAGTTCTATGTGGTGTTCGTAGGACAATTGTGATTACAATGCCACTCCACTGCCTGGTCCTGTATGGCAGGGTTTCTCAACCTTTTAAAGAGGAGAAGTACCCTTGGAAGTCTAAAAACAAAACCTGCCTTGAGAGAGTAATTTCTATTGATTTAAATTCCAAATGAAATGTGTAGATACTGATATTTAAATTAATCCCATATTGGAGAACAAGACTGATTAGCGGTAGTAAAGAATATTTTTAAAATAAATGACATAATGTGAATATTGTGGATGTAAGGGAGGTTGAGAGTATGAACTATTAAGCTACTTTTATATGAAGTATAAAAGTCCCAAAATTAAATTAATATTACACACATAGTTACATACAAAAGGATACTGGCGCATGCACACACACAGGACACTGACACACACACACACAGAGGACACTGACGCACACAATTACAGAGAGTACACCAAGACACAGGGAAACTGACACACATTTACAGAAGAAACTGACACACACACACTAAAAGACACATTGATTTTACACACTCACTGACAGACACATTCATTGATCTGACACACACTGACAGACACATTCTCTCACGTTATTGTTTATGAATTATTTTTTATTCAAGCCGCCTTTTGGGGGTGTCCTAAGATGACCTACCGGCCAGCTTTTGGCATATCCCCTGTGGTGCGCACACCTATAGGTTACGCGTACCCAGGGCTGTATCTACCGCGAGGCGAAAAATGGCATTTGCCTTGGGCAGCACTTTCCAGGGGGCGGCAAAAAACGCTAATGCTAATGCCTTGTTTGACTCGTTTTCAAAGGTCTGGCCACATTTGAGCCCTCTAGGGCAGGCGGCCAGTTGTTTCCCAGATGGTTCCCGGCATCACTCTGCAACGCGCGCAAGGGGGCTGAGCAGGGAGATCACAACTCTCTTGTTGATCGCCAAGTGCAGCCACCCGCCCACATTCCTGCACGTCCGCCCACCTTCCTGCCCAGCATCCCCACTGGAACCAAGGTGAAAAATCCACCCAACTCTCCCAAAAGTAAGGAGGCTGGGTGGATTTAAATTTTTTTTCTTTTAAATAATAATAATTGTGATCGTTGTGGGAAAGTTATTGTGTGTGTGTGTGTGTGTGTGTGTTTGTGTTTGTCAGTGAATGTGAGTGAGCGTTTGTGTGAGTGAATGTGGGTGGGTGAGTGTGTATCAGTGAATGTGGGTGGGTGAGTGTGTGTCAGTGAATGTGAGTGAATGTGTGTGTGTGTCAGTGAATGTGTGTGTGTCAGTAAACGTGGAGTGAATGTGTGTGTTAGTGAATGTGAGTGTGTCAGTGAATTTGAGTGAGTGTGTGGGTCAGTGAGTGTGTGTGTGTGGGTCAGTGAATGCAAGCGTGTGAGTGAGTGAATGTGTGTGTGTTTATCTGTCAGTGAATGTATGTCTGTCAGTGTCTGTGAGTGTGTGTGTCCAGTGAATGTGTGTGTCTGAGTGATTGTGCCTGTCTGTTAGTGCTTATGTGGGTCTGTCAGTGTGTATCTGAATGATTGTATGTGTATGTCAGATTGTTGCAAATCAGTAAGTGTATGTGTGTGTGTATGTCAGTGTATCTGAGGGTGTGTGCTGGTCCGTGAGTGTGTGTCTGTCAGTCAAAATGTGTGTTGGTTAACAGGAAGCGGTGTGGCCTTGGCAGGAAGGGTCGGGCAAATTTAAATTAGGGGGTGCCCAAGAGCTGTCATTCCTGGGGCAGCACCATTTCAAAATACACCACTGCGCGTACCACAGGTTGAGTAGCACAGCTGTAAATCAAGCTTCCGCATGGTGAAAGTTATATGAATTCTTAATATTACCCTTTAAGTCTCAGTTTCCACTTTTTACCTATATCTGTAGCCTTGTCTCTGCTGCTACAGGCAAGCGATGTGAAGTGTTTCTATTCATGAGGGTCTCTCTCCAGCTAATCTCTATCGATGCTCGTCCTCAGGCTGAATGGAAAAAATAAATAAATAACAATGTAAAAATGTTACAAGGTTCAGATATGTAAGAGCAATGACATTTCAAAACTAATACAGTGACACAATAAGACCAATTGGTATATAACAGAACTGCACAGCACTCATTTCTTGAGATGATGACTTTTTAAAATGGTCCATTTTAAGGTAAGTTCTCTTATAATTATACGGTCCACTCCCAGCGTTATTTAAAAAAAAACAAAAATGTAATTAAAATTAAAGCCAACAATCAGTTGATTTGACTATTTTTAGTCATTACTTTAGTATTTTATTTTCAAGCTTGCAAAATTTCCCTGATGGCAAAAATAATCTTTTTTTAATCAGCAGCTGGTATTCTCGGGAATTATGTGGTTACGAAATGTTTTCTTAAGTTATGCGAAACCTACAAAAACACCATAAGGGAAAAATGTACAATTCCTTAAAAGAACATTTAAGTCACAATGACCACTTCATCTCAATGAAGTGTTCCGGGTGCAGCCGTTCTGTCATTTTAACCCTGCAAAGTAAAACATTGCAGTATTTAAAGAAACTGAAATATTATTACGGCAGCCACTAGTCGCTTTTTCCTCCAGACAGATGAGAAGCAATGGATTGGAGGAAATCGTGAAGACCAGTTGTTGGCTTTTTTTTTTTTTTATAATTCTGCAGAGAACAGTAAAATTATAAAGAAATCTACACGATTGAAGCTATAGATACAAATTAAGCTCTAAGTAAGTACATCCTGATTGAAGAGATAGCTTGTGTACTGTGCAGGGCGTGTCGTACTGTGCAGACAATATAAAGCAAACAAGCAATTCACATTCCACACACATGACAAGTAAAAATATGGGGAAGTGACAAGCAGGTGCAAAGTGATGTAGCATAGTCTGGATATACATTTATCATCAGCAGGAGAAGTGTGTGAAGGGCAAACATTCATCATGTACAACTAGCCGGAAAAAAAACTAATCAAAGCTGTAATAATTCAATGGATACGCACGGGATAACCCAAGAAATAACCCATCTGCTGGTGCATGTTGCTTCCATTATATCATTATTGGATAAAAAAAGCACTCCAATGAAGAATTTACATTCATCAATTCTTTACAACAATTACTAGACCACTGTAACCACATCATATCCGCTGAAACATCAGTGCACACATGTGTGATATCTGTGTTCTCCACCTGTTCGTTGGGGAAGATCATTTATCATTCAGAAGCAGAGGCAGGTGTGTCGGAATAATGGAAGCAAGTGTGTTGGAACATCTAACCGTGGAATGTTGCATATCACATTATTAAATTAGGGGCCACAGCGCAGTATGATAACAACGACACGCCAGCGACACAATACGGCCAGCGCAATCACCCTTAATAGATGTATTTAGCCTCAAGCCTCCAGCTCGGCAAAGCTAATGTAATACAATGGAAAATGTGTTGTTTTTTGTTTTTTAGAATAGCTAAAGTGGTAGAAAAATAGAAAAACAATTACCCTGTTGAGATTTATATTTGATCTCTTAAATTTTAACCCCACCTCTGTTAAAAAAAGCGATACTTGTCATTCCTGAGGAAGAACTTGTCCAAAGCAACGTGTGCCATGGCTATTCTAGGACTGAACAGGATTCTGATAACAATTGTTAAATCTTTAACATAAACTTTAAAAAACAAAACAGAGCATGATGTGAAAAAATGGTTAACACAATTTATAGGAGGTTTTCAATGTTTTATTTAGTGTTGTAATTTCTAGAGAAGTGATGTGTCCCCTTTAACCCCTTAAGGACACATGACATGTGTGACATGCCATGATTCCCTTTTATTCCAGAAGTTTGTTCCTTAAGGGGTTCAAAGCCTCGGCAATGACATTATGAAAAAGGCGACAAGGGACACGGAGGTTAAAGGATTCAAAACTGTATTCCTAACATTCCAGTGTCCCTCTGCCTTAAAGCTGGTGATTAAAGGGTTCAAAAAAAATAACCTTTAAAAACTTACCTCTTTCCAGTGCACCAACTTTCAGCCTAGAATATATGTGGAGAGAGAGCTCATACCATCTAATCTATCTCCTAAGTGAAGAAGAATGAGGAACCCACAGAAAGAGAAAAAATAAAAATTAAATTTATGTGCTTTATTGTAGCAAGTACGTGCGGAATGCATTTTGCATATACAAATTGCTTTTGAGTTAAAACTGGTTCCATTTTTTTACTGCAACGTAATTATTTCCAAAGCACAGAAAAAAAAATGTCACTTTTCTAGTTTTGCGGTTTCATTGTATTATTGATCCCAGTAAACAAGAATGGTTCTGTTAAATAGCACTCAAGTCTGGGTTTTTTACTAAAGTGAGAATTCAAACTGAATTTCAAATTTAAGGACAGAATAGCCAGGCTGAAAGCAAAGCGAACTTTAAAAAAAAAGAAGAAAAAAAACGGCAATTTTTACTTTAAATTTTAAATTCACTTTTCATTCTTACCTTAGCAGATATCCCTGGCGTGTGTAAAAATATTCAGCATTCTTCGAAAGAGTGAACAAGTTACAATTTTACATCTAAAATTTTCTTTCCATATTTTATAACACTCCAATGTTTTAAAAAATTTACAATTTTTTTTCCCTCCGATACCAAATGGCCTTTGCACATCTGTCCGTCTTATCTCTTTGAAACCAAATCTATATTAGTTTTATTTTAGATAAATACTTTGCCGACAAGTAAATATTAAGATTTTTACATACTTCTCTCCTTTGAAGTTTACCCTCAGGATAGCAAACTATCTGGACATCTTTAAGCCACTCATTAAGCACAGCACACGCACGGACACTAAATTACATTCACAAGACACAAAATGGATCTTTTCAAAGCAACACTTTTCAATAATTTCTACTCAAATTACACAGAAAACCACCAAAAACCCTATCATGTTTAACCTCTCACCTCCACATCTCAGAGTACACTGGGTATTGTTTAATGTCTCTATGACCTTTCTTCATGTTGTAAGGTAACCGTGATAAATTAGACACATCCCATGGCAGAACACTTCAAGAACAGCTCGTAATTTGGAGTGCAGCATGCTATATGGTTTCAAGGGAGCCAGAATGGAATTTGTTTGGAGAATGGGATATGGACTATTAGTCCCCATTCGGGGCCATGAAACTTCAGAAAGTGTTTTAAAGGAATATTACATTTTTAGGTAAACTTTTTTAGAACGAGCATATTTTTAGCAGAAATAACTGTATGGCAATTTATTTTTTTTTGTTTCTTTGAGTAACACCAAAAAAAAAAAAAAAAGTAATTTAAGGATGCTACTTAAACATTAGCAAAATACATGTAATTTTGAAAAACAACTGAACTGGAAATAGCTTGAGGAAATTTTTTCAAATTGCTATTTTGGCCTAAAATTTGCAATCCATGGGGAAATTCCAACAATTCACGATTACAAGGAACAAACTAGACAGCATATCCATTACAGGTTGCTGAAGTGGTTAAGGAGCCATGAGTTCCCAGGGGGTTCTGGGATGGCCTCCACTTATAATAGATATATCTAAAGCAGAGGTTCCTCCACCACAATAGATATCAGTTTCGGCCCACCATGGACAAAATTAATAGCAGGAAGAGCTCCAGACAATTACTTTCCTCCAAAGATGAGTGGAATGTACATTTCTTAAGGAGAAGTATGAACGTCCACATTAGCGATATAAGAAAAAGAGACAGTTGGACAACTTGGAACCAGGGAACTATTGGAACCATAATCACTACATTGGGCTGTACAACTTAAAGTTTATTCTAATCCTTTTGAAATAAATATATTTACACTTTCAATGCCCTCTTGCATTACTATTAGGTCCACCTACGAGGAGGGATTTAAAGAAACATTTGAAAAACTTTCATTCTACTGAACAGAGCGAAGCGTGAGGGGTTGGAAGACCTGGAAGCGCAATACACATAAGTAAAAAGCGCATTTCATCTGTCGCCGGTATGCCGTGTTTAAACATTTGTTTTATTAACAATTTTTGCACATAATTGACATGAGCCTGGGGTGCAACTAGGCCCTAGCACAAAAGTGCAAACATCTCTATATGTGTTTCAATCAAATATCTCTATAAGTGTTTCAATCATTTACTAAACCCTGCCTATGAGTGTATTGGATTTAAAAAAAAACTATACATACAAAAACAAACAAACAAACAAAAATATATAGTTTTGTTTTTGTTTTTGTAAAACCATCCAAAGGGAAATATCACTTTAACAGACACTATAGAATGTCCTGCAAATCAATGTATTGGAAAGACCTCTGCCCCTGGGTGAAGGTCATATAGATTGTGATGATGTCACTAATGGCTATTGGTACATTAAAAGATTCAAAGTAGTTGATAAAACATATCTACAGCAAAATGATGTGGGCTTTGCAGCAGGTCTCGAGCATACAGTCATTCAGAAATAAAGGGTGTGGCAAGAAGCAGGTGTATGGAGCCAGGCCAATTCTCTGCCTATCCATACCAAACAGACTGAGTCACCTGAGAATAGCAAGATGCAATTCTCAGCCTCAGTAAAAATGAAGTAATGCGTCCTGTCATTCATAACTAACCAGACTGGTCTACTAATGTACACAGAGGTGGTTGCCGAGGAATGGGGCAGTCAAGCACATATTGTTTACACTAGGGATGGCAGGGAAGAAATGGCTCCCCCAAAAAAAGAACTTCAACTCCCATGATGCTTAATCATACCAGAGGCTTGTAAAGAATCATGGTAGTTGTGGTTCTACCGATTGGCCTCCTCTAGTTTACTCAGAGAAAAATCTTGGGAATTTGCCAGCATTGGGTTTAAGTGAAGTCATGAAAAAACACCATCAACAGCTTTAGTAAGACAATTTTTGTAAGTGCTACATAATCGTATTTATACATGAAGGGGAAAAAAACAAAACAGTTGAGTGCAACTGATACATTTTTTTAAATAGATACAATGTCAAATAATTCTTCTATTCTCTGTATTTGACATCAATGTAATTGCATCCGTTAATAAAATGTTGACACAAATAAAGCACCATGATTATCAACTAAATAAACCCAAAAGGTCACCCCAATGTGTATTTTAAGATAAGAGGTCTTAGTACCATGGCCATAGCGTATAAACCTCACCTGTCAAAACTACCCAGGAGATTCCTACGCTAAGCATTTACCTGATTGTTTTAAATGACCACTATAGGCACCCAGACCACTTCAGCTTAATGAAGTGGTCTGGGTGCCAGGTCCAGCTATGATTAACCCTGCTTGCTGTATACATAGCAGTTTCAAGAAACTGCTATGTTTACATTCGGGTTAATCCAGCCTCTAGTGGCTGTCTCATTGACAGCCGCTAGAGGCGCTTCTCACTGTGATTTTCACAGTGAGAAGACGCCAGCGTCCATAGGAAAGCCTTGGCTCCCCCATTATAAGGAGTTAAACCATTTTAGAACTGTTTAACTTCTTATCTCAGTCCCAAACCACGCAGCAGACTGGCACTGATGGAAAGTGTAGGGTGTAATGTATGGTTACACTTGTAATGGAATTCTGTGCATTTAAGCCCCTATGCGAGTGCATCAGGACCTATCATCCTGGACTGCTTGCACAAGACTGTGTTTGTGCCATGACAATAATTGTTTTATGAACAAAAAAAACCTGTCAGTCGCAGTAGATCCCCAGATGTAGAACTACAACTCCCATGATGCTTTGTATGCCTTCAGAATGACAAGTCATTGCAGAAGATGTCGTTTTAAAACATCTGTGGATCTACCTTTCGGCTACCTCTGCTCTCCCAGACAACAACTAGAGGCGCTTACAGCAGTTTTATGCTGTGCATGATGACAACCGGTATCTTGCAAAATCCCTTAGGAAAACATTTAGTCAGTGCTTCCTTAATAGGTGTGTGGCACATGCTGCGCATGCACATAGGTTCCCAGATCACACTGATATCAGAGGAAGAAAAGATGGAGCCAGTATGAGGGCGCTGGAATCAGGCAAGTGATTATTGGGGTGGGGTCTGCGGAGGCAGAGGAACACTGTAATGTTAGGAATACAGTTTGCTAACACTGTAGTGTTCCTTTAAGCTAGCCCTTGCTTGGCTTAGAATCATTGATGTGGTCGTCCATAAACAGCAAATTATTTGTATTCTTCATTAAAGCACGCCACTTTAATGGTTCCTGTTGCAATTTTGTGTGCTTTCTTTTAAACTGGAATTTATGGGCTGACAGTTTCCCCTTTAATGAAACATGATCTTTCCAACCACAATATTATCATGGAGGACGGATAAAAATCAGTTTGCTGGTAGGTTCCTGGGAATGAATAAAATCAAACTGCGGAATGCAGAACAAAGGAGAGAGTTGGACTGTAATCTGAGTCATTTCAATGCTTTGCATACACTTAACAAGAGGACATGGATCAAAGGACAACTGATACTTCTTATTTGTCAAGGCCATGGTAAACCTCCTTAGGTAAGGCTATTCAGTAAAAGACAAAAAGGCACAGTCACCTTTGTACTTAGAATAGCTGTCAGTTAACCCATCTGCTGCCAATATTTAAAAAAAAAAATAAAGGACAATCTGGCTCAAAGGGGAATACTGGCAGATGTCCAATAAAGAATTTATCAACAAACCGATAAAACTGCAGCTAACAGCCATTAATAAATCTACGGAATTAAAAATGTGTCTGGTAATGTTTGTTTCCTGTCTTTTAGAAAAACTTGACTGCATTTAATCCAAATTGGGTTCCAGAGCTACATCAGTGTGTCCACACTCTGTGGAACAGAGGCACTATATTAACTCAGGCTCGTAATATTAATAAAAACGCAATCTAATGTTTTCTTTAGTGACACAGTCTTCCCTTGGCGGAATACAGACAAAGAAATAACTATTTCATCCCTTTTAATAGAGAGCAATAAAAACAATGGCGACTATAGCACTCCCACAGAAGGCATTTTGCGGTGTCATTAAATGGAACACATGAAAAGAATTTAGGAACATTATGAATGACTGAGAAAACTACACTGGTCTTGTTATGCATTTTTTACCAGCCTTACATTTGTTTGTTATGCATTTTTTACCAGCATATTTTAAAGGTAGAGATTATGGAAAGAAAGCAATTTAGTGTCGCAAAGGAGCAAGAAGAAAAAAGCAAATTCTACCTAAAAAGAAGCATGAGGGGGACAGTTAGGACTAGATTAGAGAGTCAGTGGGGTGGAGACAGTAAAAAAATAAAGCCGCTTTTAAATTATTTTTTTATTTTATATAAGTATCTGCAGTAAAATTGTAATTCCCATCTGGTAATTAAAGGAACACTATAGTATTAGGAATACAAACATGTATTCCTGACTCTATAGTTTTGAACTATTAGGGTCCCCTGCCACCCTCAAAGTGGTCTTGCCACAACTGGTCCTGCCTCCATGGCTGGTATCAATCTTGATGATCTCAGCCAATCCAATGCTTTCCCTTAAGAAAGCATTGAGAGGCTATTGCGCATGCATGGCAAAATGCAGTGCTGTGCCAATCAGCATCACCTCATAGAGATGCAATGAATCAATGCATCTGCATGGGGAGCGTTCAGCGTCTGCATGCACAGTGTTGAGATGCTGAACGTAGGTGAAGTGGACTAGAAAGCACCTCTAGTGGCTGTCTGAATGACTACCACAAGAGGTGTTACTAGGCAGCTGTGTAAACACTGCCCTTTCCCTGAAAAGGCAGCATTTACATTGCTCAGCCTGCAGGGACAGGTTATAGACACCAGAACCACTACATTAAGCTGTAGTGGTTCGGGTGACTACATTGCCCTTCTAATTAAACTAGTAAGGCAATATGGCTTAAAGTATCGATGTCCCTTTAGTAAGCTTCTAATCTAGATGTTACATTTCTGAGCTGGTAATGAAGTTAAAAGAAGAAAAAAAAAAAAACTAAGCAGGTGTGCTTTGGAAATGCAAATCTTACTGAAGTGTGCCTCGGTCCCAAAAATACAAGCATGTAGAGTATCTAAGCAAGTAGAAACTATTGGCTTTTCTGTCTGGGGGAAATACAACATTAAGTGCGGATATCTTTAAATATAACTGTGAAACAAGATTTGTGAAGTCAATATTATTTCATAAAATATCTTTATTTGTATTCACGAACGTACTATTTATGAAACATAGCAAAGGTGACATGGATACATTTTACTGTAAACCAGGTGCTGCAGACTAGTGGATTGCGAAAATATGCTTTATTCCAAGAGAAAATCATGGAAGATGGAGTCCACGGTAAATAGAATTTAAAAGGTTTCTCGCAATTGAATGTAAAGTGAGAGCATGTATGTCTCCTTCCACATGGCCTGGCTAAGAGTAACTGTGTGCCCCTGGGATGTGAGGCTACATCAAAATCACAGATATTTCAGGGAGGTAAAAAACACAGCTACAATGGGGCCCAAATATAGTACAGAAACGTATTCCTGTGATACTACATTAGGACTGTGTTTCCGTGGAAACTAAAAATGTCACATTCTCTAGGTTGTTACATGAATATATTAAATGTCCAACTGTTCCTTATGGTCTTTATACACTGTAAATCTGTCCACGGCAAAGAACAAAATGATAAAAGCAAACAAGTATTATGTGGCATTTGGCCCCAAACAGCAAACATTGGCAGAGAATGTCCAAACAAAAAACATTTATAAAAATCCAACTGACATGTATTCATTTGTATTATCAAAGAGATGTACAATGCATTCCTTGTATCTGCCCTATTAGATGATGCAAGGAATTAACACATGGTCTCACTACTGACCCTTCCAATTAGACATAGTGAGGTTATGTAATTTCTTAGACACGCTCTTATTTAGACCGAGCTCAGTCACAATGAGCCTGAAGATTCAGCAGGTTGATAAAGTGTCTGTGCTAGATGCGAAACGCGTCCAGTGTCCCCTTAGATTTTGTTTAATGCTGGTCCTCCCCACCCCTTTCTTCCTAAAAGGTGTACAGACTTGGTTTCATATTTGTTCATTTTTGCCCGGTCCATTTACACAAATATGGTCTGTATGTTGTAGCCATGTCATTCATTGCATCATTAAACGCATACTAGCGCGGAAGAAATGTACTAACGCACATGTGCGATATAAACGTTATTTCCTTTGCTGCTTTAATATAAAATCAGACAAGGGAAGGCTTATCGCAGCTGAGAGACATTTACTTAAATGACAATAGGAGCCACACTCAATCTCAGCAGCCACCGGGTACTCCGGAGCAAGACCAGCAATCCCACAACGATAAGGCAACACTAAAAATTCTCCAGGCGCTTGACAAAGACCGTTTGGCCGGGCGAAACGTTTCTGTTCCTTTTTTTGTTCTGTTAAAACTGCCTGCTAGTAAAAATGTTACTCACTAAACTACAAATTATGGAGAGGAGAACATACAAAGATTGTTTATTTTAGAATAAAATACGTGAATTTGGAAGGATTCTTCAACTATTTTTCCAGTTCAGCAATTTTGCCCTCAAATTTGGAGTTCCCAAACAAAATCTTCACAATTTATTTATAAAATATTTTACCGGGACGGATAGATTGAGATTTCTCTCCTTTTCATGTAAGTAAATTCTCCATTTAGTACATGTTGCTCTTACGTGAAATTACTATTAGAGATGGCGTTAGCTACATATCGTCTTCCAATTACGTTAATGTTAAAATAAGCACTTTTTGCTGTAGGTGCAATGAAATTACCCCACCTGCCAAAAGCACATCTTCATGGATTGCCTTAAGGCGCATGTTGACAGTATCAGCGCGTGTGTTGGCTGTTTAACAATGAGTGCTGCAGGAAAGAAAACAGTATTTCATTTTATGAAATACATGTCAGATTTAATCTTTTTAAAGTATACTGTAAAAATAAATAAATTCCTTCGTCATATGAATTTAAAAAAAAATTAAAAAAAATCTAATGCTTAGTAGAAATTGAAAGGAGGAGGAAGTGTAATTCCCCCATTACACAATAAGGACTTTTTTTTAATTTTTATTTTTTCTGAATTCCTTTTAACATTTAGTAATCACATTGTTGAGATCAAGGAAGTGACTTGAGAGAAGGGGTGTAAAAATGGAAGCAACAATGTCACATCAACATCAGGAAACAAAGATAAACCAATCACCTATACTTTCAGTGAGTGAATCCGTGAATTAGTGTCTCAATTTCTGCTGTTTTTTTTAATGCATTAACAGTGTTCCTGCCACAGATTTTGCACAGTTCCCTGTCCATCCCTTCAAATAGAAAATGAGGCAATAATCCAGATAATATATTTAACCCCTTAAGGACTGATAATGGTCTACTTCAGCAGTTCCCAAACTTTGTCTCTGGGGCGCTGCAACGTGCACACAGGGGTGCCGCGGAATGTTTCCCTGGTGCTATAATTATAGCACCAGGGAAACATTACTGCTCAAAGGGGACGGGTCAGGTGCCGCTGTCCTTTAAAACCGCGACCGGGCCCCTGTAATGTCGGCCGTCTGGGAGGAAATGACAGCCTGTCACTTATTCCCAGCATCACGCAGGGAGACAGCATGGGAGGAGGCACGAAGAGCTCCAGACCGCTCACTCCACCAGCAGCAGGATTCCAAGTCACCCTCCTGGCACATAAGGTAGGCTGACAGGAGAGTGGCTGGAGATATTAAAAATAAATCGCTTGTATGGGTGTGTGTGTGAGTGAGTATAAGTGTGTGTGTCAGGGTGTTTGTGAATGTGTGTGTGTGCTTCTGTGTCTGCACACACATCTGTGTATGTGCATCTGTGTGTCAGTGTGGGTGTTTTTATGTCAGTGTGTGTATCTGTATCAATGTGTGTGTGTGTCAGGGTTAGGGATCGACCGATTATTGGTTTTACCAATATTATCGGTCGATATTCAGTATTTTCGGCAATATCGGTATCGGACAATTCAGATACCGATATTGCCGATAATACCTCCTAGGTGGTCCTGTTGGGAGCCAGCAGCAAGCGTTTACTTACCTCCCAGCAGCTCCTCCAGCTCCCCTATGTAAGTCTCGCGAGACCCGCGGCCGTCAGAGCGTTGCCCTGGGTTACCATGGCAACGCTCCACGCGGCACGCAGACCGCGATACTTACACAGGGGTGCTGGAGGAGCTGCGGGGAGGTGAGTAAACGCTTGCTGCCTCCCCCACAGCACAGCCAATGCCACTGGACCACCAGGGAATGCCATATCCCCCCTCCATGGCCAGGTAACAAGCAGGGAGGGGGGACAACAAAAATAATAATTAAATTTAAAAAAAAATAAAAAAATTATGAAATAAAAAATGCCCCCTCACACACACACACTCCATTATATACACATGCACTACACAAACACACTGTGTATATAATGCAGTGTGTGTAGTGTGTTTATATAATGCAGTGTGTGTTTGTGTAGTGTGTATATAATGCAGTGTGTGTATATAATGAAGTGTGTATATAATGCAGTGTTTATATAATGCAGTGTGTGTAGTGTGTTTACATAATGCACACTACACAAACACACTGCATTATATACACACACACACACTATACAAACACACACACTCTGCATTATATAAACACACTGCCTCCACAACACACACACTACACAAACACACACACACACTGCCTCCACAAAACACACACACACACACACAAAAACACACTGCCTCCACAAAACACACACACACACAAACACACACACTGCCTCCACAACACACACACACACTACACAAACACACACACTGCCTCCACAACACACACACTACACAAACACACACTGCCTCCACAAAACACACACAAACACACACTGCCTCCACAACACACACACACACACACACTACACAAACACACACTGCCTCCACAAAACAAACACACACTGCCTCCACAACACACACTGCCTCCACAACACACACACTACACAAACACACACTGCCTCCACAAAACACACACACACAAACACACACTGCCTCCACAACACACTACAAAAATACACACTGCCTCCACAACACACACACTACACAAACACACACTACACAAAACACACACTGCATCCACTACACACACAAACTACACAAACACACACAGCTTCCCTGTCCAAACACACTGCATCCACTACATGTGGCATGTATATTTTGTGCATTTACCTTTAGAAATAGTTTTTATTTTCCAATGTGCAGAATATCGGCAAATTATATCGGCTATCTGCCTGAAAGTTCACAGAATATCGTTATCGGCTCTAAAAAAAAAAAATCAATATCGGTCGATCCCTAGTCAGGGTGCATGTGTGTCTATATAAATTTGTGTGTATGTGTCGGTGTATTTATATGCATCTGTGTGTTAATGTGCATGAATATCTGTGTGTATATGTATATATGTATGTATGTATGTATGTATGTATGTATGTATATACATCCAAGCTGTCAAACACACTCCTGCAATCTAACTTACATATACACACCCCTGCATTCAAACAAATTATATATTATATATACACACATACACCTTCACTCAAACACTTCACACAAATGTGCATCTGCATTCAAACACAACCCTGCAATCAAACATTAAATGCAAACAAACCCCTGTATTAAAATACAATAAATGTATACAAGCACCCCTTCAAACACCAACACTGTACATTACACTATAGTGCCAGTAAATGCCACAGGGCTGTACAGATAGGCAGCCTAGAAATTTTGACTTGGGGTGCGTTGGAAAAATACTGAAATATTATGGGCGCCTTGAAAGTTTGGGAACCACTGGTCTACTCTGTACCATTGTAACATTTTTAAGGATCCTATGCCAATAAAATGACCCTCTTATTTAACACCAACAATGCTTTATAGTGCTGTCATTGCGTAATAAACAGGGAATTCAATGCTGGAATGGTTCTTTAGGGACCAGCGGTTGATGTGATTGATGATGGCAAACAAATAATGCAGATTTTTTTTTTTTAGGGTTAAAACATGCCATAGATGCACTCACTACTGATTCCTCAATACTCTGTCACTATTCTGTCTGCATAACTGGGCTCAAGCCCTCTTTAAAGACTTGATCTGAAAAATCTAAAACATTTTGGCAAAATGTGAAAAGAAAACACACACACACAGCAATTGCAGCAAGAAGTGTGCTCACCAGATGTACAACTACCCCTAGCCACAAGTATGCATCCCCCACAAGGGACATGCACTTTGTACACTGCTGATGTAACATAGGCCTGGCGTTAATGAGGATCATGTGAGGCTGCATGACTCCCAGTTACAGAACACATGTCCCCATGCACAGCAGTCAGCGTGTCGATGGGGATATGAAGAAAGCAAGACGAGGGGAATCCGTTTGTTCGCAAAGAGTTTCACCATGACAACAAAAACAGCAAATAATAAATACAATTAACAAAACATTCCGAACACAAGGAAATGCTGTGTGTATTTTTGGAATTCATTGTACTTTAAAAAAAAATTATAAATTCAAACATTTCAACTTTGGAATTCCAGAGATATTTAAAACAGACTTTTGAGCAAAAGGATGGCTCTGCCAGTACTCGAAGGATTAAACATAGCAAATCTCGCCTGTTTTTTGTTTGTTTCGGCCCCATACACACCTACGCCTCTAACCATGAAACGCCTTGATATTTTGTAGGGGAATGTAGCCACTCTGACATCATTTCCTCCTCCCACTAGACCACAGATAGGAACATCAGTAAAGGATGCAGGATGTGTTGTTTGTAAACAGTCAGAAATGTTTAGTAACATTATCCCCTGAGTTGGGAGCAGCATAGACGGGGAGGAGAGTCAGTTTCCTGGAATGTAGGCAATTTTGTCTTCTTAAAAAAGCAGTATGTTGATTCAAAAAGGGTTATTATAATCATTGTAGGTTAACCTATGGCGGGTGTAGGCAACCTTCAGCACTCCAGATAGTGTGGACTACAGTCCATAATCTTTGTTGCATTTAACTAGGCATTCTGATTAGGTTTTCTCTAGAGGTAAACATACCTAGGAATCAAATAACGCAGAAGTTACCAATCTGCTCCACTTTGAGACATTTCATAGGCAAATTCTCCTCAAATTCCCATTCACTCTGGAATTTCACATGGGACTATTTCAATGACCCATACCCAAGATAAATAAAGTGAAATTATACCCCAAAACATTTCGTAATGGATCTGTCACAGTCGGAAGATTATTTTGCATACTTCCCAACATGGTGATAGAACAGTCCCAAAATGGGGACCTTGTCCCTTTGGTCTTGCTGGCATCTGCACAAGTGTTATATCTCAGGATATCTCAGGAACGGACACAAAATTGTTTTTTTTTGCATGGGTGGTTAATCAATGACTGCTACACAGTGCGGCAGCTCAGATCTTTATGTGTGGCTGGTAAAATACGCATACATAAATGTATTGCCTGGTAGATGCTTAGGCAATGAAAGAAGAATTGCCCAATACGCACATGTAGTGCTTTCTTTTAAAGGGGCACTGTAGTCACTATAACCATTTCAACTCTTTGAATTGGTTATGGTGCTTGCAGTTTTCTGGCCCTGTCCCTCCATTCAGCGTGTCATCATTTTCGAGCAGTTTAACATTAAATAAGTCTCTCTGACCACCAACAGCCCAGCCCCTACTGGAGGTGTAGCTAAGGCAGAGATTACACACTTACTTGAAATATTACCAATTCATACCAGCAACGGTAGCTCTGATAGGCTAAAAGCAGTCAGCTGACACTCTCATCCAATCACAGCTGCCTCTTGCTGCTCAGGCTGATACTTCCTCATTTGTCTAAGCAGCACCGGGGGGGATGGGCTGCAGGGGATTTTAATTTAGCATTATAACATAAAAACATTAAATACTGTTTAATGCTGAATGAAAGGACAGCACTAGTGGACTCCACACACTAAATTCACTTCATTGAGATGAAGCAGATACAGTGTCCCTTTAAGAATGAACAAGACGGGGGATCTCACTCATTGTTCTAGGTAAATGCGTACATGCATGCATTTTAAAATACAACCACTACAGCCTTTTTGCTGTACCAAAGTCCATATCATAAGAGCAATGGGAGGAGGGAGGAGTAGGAATTAATGTAAAACATATTTATTCTGTGACAGTTGTTCATTTGCAATTGTAACTCACCAGTAGTAGAAATTATTACTTTTCAACGAGAAGCAGTACAGTATTAAAGATTATTTTTTTTTAATTCTCCTGTTGATCAAGCACCATCAATTAACCTATAGGCTTATTACATTTGCTTTTTTGTTAATGTAGAACTTATAAAGAGTGTTTGTTTGTTAGCACTAAGTACCAACGCTAATATTTCTTATGTTGGAATGTTTAACTTATCTCGGTTGTGCATGAGTTTACCCTAATATTCGTGGTAGACTTCCATCACATATGCATTCTCAATTCAACCGTGAACCGTTCAGTCATTGAGATTGTATCTGGAGAATGCCCACTGCATGCAAACCACAGGAACACTGACATATGAGCACGGGCGCAATTTCCTGTCGCAGATCAGATCTGTCCCACTGGTCCAAGGGAAACCACTTTGGAGATGCTGCGGTTTTAACCCCTTAAGGAACAAACTTCTGGAATAAAAGGGAATCATGACATGTCACACATGTCATGTGTCCTTAATGGGTTAAAGCTTGTGGAATGGGAATGTTGATGGCGGTATGTGAATGTTTCGTGCGAACGCCACATGCAAAGTATGAATGTAGTGGATAAGGCCTGAATTTTGGGAGCACTATGTGAAGATTGAATGCAGGGACTGAATGCTGTTGGCGGCATGTACGTGTAATCTGCACGGGTTTATTGCACGGTACAGACTGAGAATTTTCAATGTCGTTATCACTAAGGAACAAGCAGAGGCCAAATTTAAATTTGGACAGTGCAATAATCTTCATCTATTGTTCCCGTATGTCAAACATGTTTTTTCAGACTTCAATTTTTTTGGTTCATCTACTGTACAACACTGTTGAATATGTTAGCACTATTTAAATTAGTGTAAAAGGTTAGTATTTTGGGCCGTTAAAATTTAAATATCTTCTATTGACTATTTTTCTAAACATTCATGATTGAAATCTTCTTCCTCATAACTTTCTAAAGTTGTCAGAGGGCACATGATCAGCTAAAGGCATCTTCAATAAACTGCTGCTGTTATAAATTTCACAAACTAAAAAAAAAAAAGTTACTAACAATTAACTCATTAATTGCCAAAGGTCTGTAAAGCAGAATGACACAGTGTTTGAAGAAAAAGGAAAAAAAAAAAAAACACTGAGATCTCCCTTTCTGCCCCTAATCTTCATTGTAGGAGAGGCCCCTAATCCATGCTGTGCCTCATTAATCTCAATTTGTTTTAGGGGCCCTGCAGCAGCAGAGGGGTTACAGTATCTGAGATCAGGATGGCTCTCAGCTCTGGAGTGAGCCCTCACAAACGGAAACTTCACACTCAGTGGCCAGGGACACACAAGGAAAGATCAGCAAAAACTCCCAGTTAGCAGGAAATCCGTCAGCGTGCAGGAATCTGTGTGTGTGTGCTCAGACTAACACGGGATAGCAAGAGCAGAATCCTCTACATGGCTGGTGGTTCAGCAAATTAGGTTTTGTGAGACTCAGTTTGCTAATTTTTTTTTTTTTTTAAATAACCACATCACACCCAGCACTCGAGAGAGAGAGACAGAGAGAAAGAAAGAAAGAAAGAAAAGACTGGGTTTAAATACTGAATTCAAAGATAATGTTTTACAAAGTATGTTGGCCTTCTTTTAAAAAACTGGAAAGCTAAGGGGAAACATTAAAATTTCTCGGTTCTAAGTATATTAAGTGCATGTACCTAATATGTTTACGAGTAGATCACTTGCACACACACTGCTTACCACGAATAGAATTAATCGTCTGTGTACATACATGTGTTTTCCACTAATTTACAGCATGCCACACTGTAAGGTAACAAAGAAATTAAGCTTTTTTCTTTTTTACCGCAGGCGCATGGCATTAGGTGATGTCACACAACATCCAAGCCCCTGCACAATTTCTCGCATTCCAGGAGCGATAAGCACCCTCTTGGCATATAGCTGCCATCAGCCAGGCAAATGCCAATCGCCAAGTCACCATAGCAACAAACATTTTAAGTTCTATAAATGAGGTGACCATTTTTCCATTTAAATAGGTACAAACATACACACAAAGATTGATATGTATATACACACATAACTCTCTATCCATAATTATACCATTATTTAATTTACTTTAGCTTTTTTCGATAAACACTTTCCATAAAACTTGCTAGAAAAATGTGAGTTTTAGTGAAAATTCAGCACAATGGGCTCTGAACATTATTTTCACATACATACTAGGACTCAATCGATTTCAAACAGTGAAAGGAAACTGATATCTCCCACTGTTTATATAGGTTCTAGGTCTTGCACCATCACGATGCATAGATTGCATTTTACACATCCCTAAAACGGGCATGGACATTAATAGAAATACTAAGCTGTATTACATTCTATAGCTCCCTCCTCGCAGACTGCCCTCCCCCGCCCCGCAAGGGTTAAAAAGCCCTTATTGTACTTACCCCATTCCAGCACCGATCTCCCTCTATGTTGGGTCAATGCTCCACTCCCTCCTCCTATGGGGATTTTACTGTGGCCGAATGTTGAGGGATCAGGGTCAATGCACCCAGACCACTTCAATGAGATGAAGCGGTCTGGGTGCCTATTGTATCCCTTTAAGATTTAAAGATCATCAGCTGAAGTGGATACATTCTCTAAGTCAGTTAGGCATTCAGTTTGGCTATTCTGGCCTTAAATTTGAGATTCACTTTGATTTATTTGAATTCTCACTTTGGTAAATAACTCTGTAAATCTTGTAGCATATGGCGATTTACTGGAGTCGTGTACTGTCTAACTTTAAAGGTTATTCACTAGACTGTGAACTGTCAGCAATAAGAGAATTTAAAAATAGAGGAGCTGGAAAAATAGCAGCGTGGGTGAACTTTTCCAAATTATTATTCTGGCCTAAATATTGAGATCTTCTGGTCAATTCTCATTTTAGTGAATAATCCCATTGTGTAATATTTTGGAGCTTGGTAAACAAATATCTTGTGTTTTCCAAATGTGTTACCATTTGCTAGCTATTCTGAGGCATGCAAAAGATTAAATCATTTTAGACTGCTTACTAATGTGGTCTTTTAGAGATAGCAAATTAACAAATTTTGTTAATGGAGTAAAACATACATTATCTACCTACCTACATCCATATATTTTGTTCTTTAACAAGCATAGTTAATGCACAAAAGGCATGTAGAGACATCACACTGCCAAACCAATTAGTAGTAAAATCTGCAGCATTATGCAAATGAAACACCCAGCAGGTGAGTAGGCAAAACTGCCTCTATGCAAAAATACAGCACGCTGCAGATTGCCTGTAGAAAATACTGTAATTATGCAAATTAGGAATTGTAACATAGTTAAAAAATAATACAGGCCAGTTATATTGCTAATGTGTTTTAAGAAGGGATTTGCTTGTACTGCACTGAACATGTAAATGTGCATGATTTCTACACTTGGCAATGTTTTAACCAATATATGCTATCCAGCTCTTGTTCTCTTGCAACTCCCATAATCCTTTGCCAGCTTTGCAGGATTATGGGAGAATTCTATTTCAGATCACAAGAGTTAGTTTGTTGCATTACTTGCAGATGCAGCATCTAATGCAATTGGACATGTTCTGAATTTGAAAATATTCATGTCTAACTGTCCTTGCCTTTGCTATCCTTAGCAGATTTTGGAAATGCTAGATCAAAGCCAGTTTGTGTCATTCCTGCTGTAAAAGATCAAGTTATTTTGACTTCATGTCACGTGTGTTTCCATAGGAACTCCACCAGCACAGCAAATATATAAAACAGTATAAATGTACCATTTACTGTGGCAAAAAAACGATCCCCAACACTCCGCAGTCAAAAAGAGTGAGAAATCATCTATTGTGGCCCTGGGCTGAATGTCTTAAATATTCCTTTTAATCTAAAAGATGCAAAGATTCTTTCACATTTGATAGGCTTTAATCGTCTAACCCAATAACCTCGCATTCCTTGGTATCTCTGTCACAAACGACCCATTGAAAAGATGAAACTGCAACTCTGTAAAATAGCTACCAGGGTTGAACTACAGCCCAATAACTATTTTTGGTTCCATTAGCTTTAGAAAACTTAACCCCTTTTAAACCTAAAAAAACTGACACGAGAAAGAAAATTGAATTTTTGTTTGTCCCAAGACACAATGCTGTAAGGCAACGACATTAGTTGAAGTATAGACTATGAATATTTTTGACTGCAAGGCCAGACTTGCACCTCATACAGAAGTTTTTCCAAATCTCAAACATCATGTAGTTTCATTACCCATTTGAAAACCTCATCCAAAAAAAAAGAAAATCTTGGCTGTGTTAGAGATTTTTTTGGCCAAAATGCTGCTAATCAGGCACGTATGCTAAAATTCCATCTTGGTGTCAAACAAATATCTTCAATGGCTGTCCTGGCGTCTTAGAGTCGTCAGTTATTCTGCAATCCATCAGAACCAAACTTTTTTTGCTTTTTCAAGCAAATATCGACTATCCCATTGTACAGCGCTACAGAATTTGCTGGCGCTATTTAAATAATAATAATATTCAAATACCAGTAACTGAATTGATATTTCATGGAGCAATTATGTTAAATCTAGTCATGCCAACCTCTACAGCATAATGTAAATTTTTAGGGCATTTCGTCCCTACCACATGGCGTGTCTTAATGATCCCTTATTACTGGAAATAAGCATTTGCGAAAGAACCTTAAGACATGGGGGAAGGAATTTTCTTTAAGACCAGTGTAATTGTCAACATGCAGCTAAAATTATAACTGCTACGCTCTGTTTACCACAATAGACTCCAGTGACATAACTAAATTGTAGTTCGTTATATTAACAACAACAAAAAAATAATCAGAAAATCTACCCAAATTAAAGAGGTTTTCCTATAGCTACAATACAAAATATATATGCGATCACACTCTAAATATCACTTCACAATGACAGCAATCATGAATAAAACCGTTGCCGCGTACACCAGTGCAACACAATGGTTGGATACAAATAAACAAAAACAACTTTCCAAAAGTCCAATTAAACCAATGTTGTCCAACTAAAAAGCTTTTAGCGGTCAAATTGCCACTTCTATCACCGTGAGCCAGCCTTTCGTTCCAACTACAACTGATGACAGTCTAATGGACCAAGAAAGCGTGGCTTAGACAGCGAACATTCTTGGGGTAGATTATAGATTGCGGTCTACACCAGTAAAGGCCGTGTTGCCTAGAAACTATTGCTAGTGCAATTGTGTGTCTAACTCCCAAGGTACTTGTGCAGAAGGGGGAGGAGATCATGTGGAGGGAAACTGGTCCTGTGGTTTCCTGGAGACAGGAATCCCAAGCTCCCACCCCAGGTCTCCAGCCACGTATGAACCCTCCCTGCCAATGAGAGCTCCTCCCTTCCTCGCTTCCATTGAAAGGGTGTCCAGGAGAGACAGGTTGAAGGGGGCAGGAGCAGAGGTGGGACAGGTGGCTGACTTTCACAGGGAGAGTGAGACAGGTGTTCTGAACAGCTAGGTATCCTGGAGACACACAGCGCTACAGTGACTCACTTACAGAACATGTTTCTATGGCATCTACTTTCACATGGTTAGAATTGTAACCCCTTCCAAGAATACAAAATGCATGACAAAGTAATGGGGCAAAATAATGGCATTTGCAAAGAACACATTAAAAATATGACTTTAGCAGAATTACAAGCACTTTGACTTTTAACATTTGTTGACATGCAGCTAAAATTATAAATGCTCTGTTTACCACAACAGACTATTTACACAACAAGATTATAGTTAATCATAAATAAACTAAAAAAAAAAAATGTTGAAAAGAAGAAGTGTTAGCACTCTGACATTTTTCTATTTTTTTCCAGAAAATATACATGTACATTGTGTGTGCTGTGGAACATGTCAAGGATACACACACACATATACATACACACACACACATATACATACACACACACACACACACATACACATATTAATTAGATCTTGTTTTCCTTTTTAAAATCACATTAGCTTATTTAAAGTATGTATAAGACTCAAAGCCACAAAATGCAGATTGGAGAATAAGCGGGAGGTACAAAGGTTCATTGCAGCTATGCACCATTCAAAGAGCATGCCATTTAACAATGATGTAAAAAAGCCATATGGGCACATGATGCTGTGCCCCCTCGAATACAATACAACAAGACTAGATGGGCTGTTTCTGGAGTTACAATTTTTTTGCAAACAACCATTTTGGCAGATGAAGAATCCCAAACAATACATGGATACTCCAGGAATGCTTTGTGTGACATAACCAAAGAAAACTGCTGACCCGTGTCAGATGGGGGAAAGGAAGCAAAAAAAAAGTTACAATTTGCTGTATTTTACAGACCCACTCAATACAATGACAACCTCGTGACTTTGCTATGGCACTGGGCACTCAGGAGGGCACAGTAGGACAACATCCATGTAAAGGTGTGGGGGAAGGAGGAAGACATGCAGAGCATCTTCACAGAGCATGCAGAACACTGTGTACAAGGAACATACAAAGCAGATCATGGAACAGCAGACTTACTGCACAGCAATCACAGTTCTGCTAGTAACTCACAGGGCAAAAGCTCACTAAGGGTTAAAGAATTAGGAAATGATTTGTACTAAAACAACCAATCACTCTCAGCCAGCCTCTGATGGGAGTTGCAGTAGAACATGTGACTCAGTATGAGCCGCATTAAGTCCTCTTTGAACTGTTTCCCATGGAATGAAGTGCACACACTCACCCTGTGATGGTCTGTCTGTCCTCTGTGTCAGTGGGCTCGGTGCTGTGTGATCTCATGGGGGTAAAACACACTTCCAGTCCCCAGTCCCTGCACCGCAGCCTCCCAGGCTCACAGTGACAGGATCAGCTCTCAGGAAAGGGATCAGCCACAGGATGGTGCCGCCTCTAGGCACTGCCCTCCACTTCTTCTAACAGCCTATTGGCTACCTGGCTTGCCCTCATCAGCAAACAGGACTCTATTGTGTTCCAAAGGTTTATTCAGGGCAAGCTCATTTAACCCTTGCATCGCTGCATGGAACTCCAGAGCAAGAATGCAGTGATCAAAGGATATATACTATTTACATTGGGACTGTATCTCTCAGATGTTAGGACAGCCTAGGGACTAGGGAGGTGAAGTACACTCCTTTGATTTACCTCAGTTCCATATCTTTTTGCTGTGATTCTGTCATTTGCTGCGTTGCTGAATAAAATAAACATATGCAGCTACAAAATAAATGACTTGCTTTAATACTTTGAATGCTATTAAAATGTTAGAATGTTGCAGTTATTTGGAAATGTGTACTCCAAAATTATTCACAGAGCTAAATTAGGTTTATCTTTTTCATGTTACGCTTTTAATTGTTTCATTTGGTAAATTCCCCTTTTATTGTAAAGCGCTGCGGAATAAACTGGCGCTAAATAAATACCAATAATAATGATAACATAAAAAATATTTTTGCATGATACAGCAGTACAAGCTCTGAATAATGCTCTATGGGTGGTTTATGATATCAAAGGACCACTAAAGTCACCAGACCACTACATTTTATTGAGGTGGTATGATTGCAGTGGTCCTGTCATTTTAACCCTTCAATGTAAAACATTGCTGTTTTGAAAATAGACCGATATTTACTTTGAAGGGTAAAACATACTGCCGCCACTTGAAGCGTTTCATTGCACTGACTAAATACAGTCACGTGCCAAAAAAGAAGGCCGTCGCATGACGCAGAGAGGTGGGCAGCCCCCGAGGGTGTCTAGGCACTGGAGAAAGGTGAATAAGACATTTATTCTAATAATTATACTGGAATGGGGGGGGCTGCAGGCTGTATTTAACTACGGACAGGGACACTACAGCGTTAGGAATCCAGGTTTGTATTCCTAACGCTGTAGTGTTCCTTTAACCCTTTAAGGACACGCTTCAAAAGCTTGTCTTACCCTTAAGGACACAAGCCATTTTTTCATTTTTTGCTGTTTGTGTTCAAACTCAATTTGCATCTCTGTCATTTATTGCACCAACACATATTATATATTGGGTTTTTTAGAGGGTAAAAAGGACTTTCATTTGATGTCACATATACATAGATAAATTCTCATTAATTATAAAACAAAAGCCAAAAAATTGAAAAAAAACAACAACTTTTTTTCCCACAGTTTTGGCAATAATAGAGTGTGCATAATTTGTCCAGCTTACAAAAAGTAATTCAAAATAAATTAATTTAGGTGTCTTGAATTATAGACTAAATAATATGTGTAGGATTTCAGCTTATGTTGAAAGTGACATAACACAAAATACAAGGATTAAAATAAAATTTTAATGTGAAACAATTTTAGAAGTTGGTATGTTTGTCTTGTAGGTTTAGTAGCCATCAAAGAAAACAAAATTGCCACACAAAGGTATATATTTATATAAAGCAGATATCACAGGCTATTTACCTAAGGTTATTTTGACACCTTTAACATAGCTATTTCATTGCCAATCTCTGCTAAATATTGGAGTAAAATTGTGTTTTTATTTCTTTATTTTGGCATATACACATATAACAAGGTTTTTCTAATTTGTTTTTTTGTAAAGCTGGTGTGTGCTATTCCTGCACAGAACCCCATATTGTGTTTAGCTACATCTGCTGAATATAACGATACCCCCATTGAATGCCTTTGGCACTATTCTGTGAATCTACAATGCCATATAAGAGACAAGGCTATTTCAGTTTCTATAGTTAGAATTTTCATAGATGCATTTGACAGGCTTATGTCTCAAAGGCCTGTCAAGTAACGCCAAAAAGGGCTTTCATTTGATAAAGCAGACATGCCAGGGTATCTTATATGGCATATATTGTGCCTTAATTTGTCACCATTTTTTTTACCAATTTACGCCAATGTTTGTGGTGAGGCGAAACAAAATGGCATTATTACATACATGTTGCATTTTTGCTGAGTATTTCTTACACTTGATATGTGCCACTGTCATTAAATCCCCCAAATTATGCTCAGTTACATCTTCTGAGTAAAACAATATGCCCAATGTATGACCTAGACACTATTTTGTGAAGTAACAGTGCTGTAAAAGAGAAGTGACAATTTCAGGTTTTTAAGTGTGAATTTTCATGGAGGATTTTGATGTGTCCGTGTCCCACTTTGGAGCACCTTAGCAGGCTAAATAGTCCAACTACACCATAAAGGCATACCATTTCTTTAAGAAGACATCCCAAGGTATTTCAAAAGGCATATTTTGAACCTTAGCGTGGGATAATTTTTCCACTAGCTTGTACCAAGTGTAGTGGTAATAAGCATTTTTTCTGCCTTTTTGACACACAAAGTGTTTGCACAGTATATTTTGCAAATCTTATGTGTGCAACGGCTGTATAATATTTCATATGTTGCTCAGCTATGTCGTCTGAGTACAAAAATACTCCCGTATGTACCTTTGCCAAGTATATGTGGATGGGGAAGGGGCACATTTGAGATGCAGCCAGTTTTTTTCTAACATTGATACTGCGGAAAGTCCCGTATAGAGGACTGAAACGTTGATCGTGACTTTTAATATAATCACTTAAAGATTAGAACTTTTAAACTCCGTGGTTGCTGCTACCTCTTTGGATATCTGGATAACCAAGCCCTGGCTGAGCACCCGGCAATCAAGGGATACCTACAGCGCGAGTGCAAGAGTTTTTCTTTTTTCTTTTTATATATATATATATATATATATATATATATGATGTGGCATCAATCAATAAATGGATTATCTTGCGTATCTGCCCCGGGCCAAATTAAAGAAGTAATGCGTGCACGCTCCTAAAGTAATTCACACCAGACACAAGTTTCGGGTTAATGAAAAACTTGAGGAATGTTTATTCAGGGGGGACGGCATGTCCCTTATAAAGCAAAATGACATCATATGCATTGTCGGAGATAACATGAAATAATACATCAATAATTGGTTAGGTGTTAAGTGGTTTGTTTATTTAGTGCTCTTCGTACCGGGTGTGATGTCACTGGTATCTTGGAGGTCTCCCCCAGATTCCAGCGCCATATTGTTAATGAGGGTGTTAGTCGATGTCAAAAAGGAAACTCCCTAGCGGCCATTTTAGGTAAATCACATAGAAAGTTGAATAATGCTGATTGTAGTTATGCTGAGTAAATAGGCATTTTACTAACACGAATTGGGTTAATATTTTTGTCCACAACAGTTCCCCTTTAAAATGACTATTTACGAAAGAGAGAAAAAGACAGACAACTACTAACTAACCCTAATGATGTCCCTAATTGGCTGCAGCTCATCTGTCTGAACAGGCCTCGAACACTTCACTGCGCAGGTATCCCGCCGTTGCTAACCCACTACATCTCCCACGTCAGACTTCTGCCCGTAGAGACAGATGCTATCCCTATGCTGTCCCTAGGGAAGTAGTTGTCTGTTTGAGGTGGTGGGACTGAAGAGGTGTGTGTGGGGTGTCACAGTCCATGTCGTCGGTATCCTGAATGTAGTTGTAGTGCGGTTTATAGTCTGACCTACAGTCTTCTGTAAATATTTCTGCACACAGAGCATCGCACAGCAAGTCAGGAAGAGAAAGAGAATTACCACAGTAAGAACTGCCATACCTACTTGAAAAAGAGTTTTCTGCCATCCACTCATCCATCCAAACCATCTGTCGCATGAATTGGGGACTCCCGAATTCCTTTTTAATTCGTCAGAAAGACTTTCTAATTTCTCTGTGGCCATGGTTACTTTACCGTTGGGGCCTGTATTGTCAGGGATGAAGGTACACTATGTCATAGTATCGGGGAGTATTTTACACACGCCCCCCTTTTCTGCTAGGATCGTGTCTAAGGCCATTTGATTCTGAAATGTCATTTGGGAGGTAGTCTGTAATTGTTCTGCTAAGCCCTGAAGGGCATCTCTGGTATAATTGACAAATCGTTGCTGGTTATAGTAGATATAATTGATCCAGTTAACATTCTTGTTAGCGGTGATGAGTGGGATCAAGGATTCGAATCCTGCCGCCACCTCATCTCTGGCCTTGAATTCATTTGGTACCCCCCTTGGTACTCCAATGGCATCAATATATACGTGTGGGTCGAAACTACCTCGAATGGGGGTTTCTCTTTTTACTCTAAGATACATGTGTGGTGAATCGTATGGGCCTTGGTGATTATCAGAAATGATGTGTATGGGCATAATAACTTTGGTGAGAGCACAATCTCCCCACCACAGGCCAGTCATTTTTGATCTGAGCTGCATGTCACCTCATAACCAATAAATGTCTCCCACGGACTTAACTTGATTTACTAATAGGGCAGTGGGAGATTCTCGATAAGTGGCACAGTAGCCAGAAGTGAATTTACCTACCAATTTACCTGTAGTATTGTGTAGCAAGTGTAGTTATCTGGGTACACGGTGATTCCATCAGGTGGCCTCGTACTCCCTTGGGTTATTGGGTAAACCTTTTTCCATGATTCACACTGATGAATTTACTGCTGACTGTGCATAAAGGCTTAAGAAACACATTTCAGCATCTGGAGGTAAATTTAAAGGCACTGTACCCAGATGGGGTCGAGCCCCACCACAAACATAACAGTTGGTCTTGTTGTGTGAATTAGCATTATACCTTATCCACTCAAGCCATAGATGAGTATCTGAAAACCCGGTCTCCACAGCCATAGTGTCTTCAAATGTGGGATTGGCAATAGCCACCATGTCTTTAAGGGTTTTAATGTGTGGTTTGAGAGGGTTAATGGTCATGTGTGTGGAACCTACCCAGTCAGGTGATGTAAGCATGTCTTGTAAATAGAAGGTCCCCAACTTGTTATGTGAGCCACCCCTTTCCAATACATTCCCATTACGCACTCCCCGGCGTCTCCTGGGCTAGGATGTTCTATGTTTAAGTGAGCTTCATTGAGGTAGACCCTGTTGGCTTGCACAAGGTCATTCTGTATAACAAGGGTTTCCCATTTCTATCAACTCTATCTAAGGCACTTTGTGGTCTGTAGCCCCATGGTCGGCCTGTATTCCAACCCGCTGCTTTCCAGTTGCTACAGTGATGTCCTCAATGCCCACCTGTCACACAAATATATGGGTCTTTTTTGTTTGGTATGTCTTTGTATATTGCTGAGTGTTGTGACTGTGGAAAAGTACAAGAGACAATATCACAGTAATCAAAGGTATAAGTAGCTACGTGTGTGTTTGAAGAATTATACCAAAATGTTTAAACATGATTATCTTTGGTAATAGCAACTTGTTGGGCCTTTAAAAGGCCTAGCAGCAGACATAGGCACAGGAAACTCATGATTTGGCGGGATCTGCTTCCTCTGGATCAGGGACTTTCTTGCAGTGTGAGGCGTGTATCCAGGTATTCTTCCCAGCCAACTTTACAGAGGTAGATGTAGTCAATAGGACCTGGAATGGACCATCGAACCTTGGCTCAAGAGTGTGTTTTCTTAGGAACTTCTTGACCATGACCCAGTCACCAGGAAGTAACTTATGTGTGCCCATATCTGTCTCAGGATCTGGAATAGAAGAAAATACCTGTGCATGGATTTTGGTCAAGGCATGAGAGAGTGCAGTTATATAATCTACCATTGCGTCTGACTGAATTTGAAGTTGCTGAGGAAAGTAACAGCCTAACCTGGGTGCTGTTCCAAACAAGATTTAATAGGGGGACAGGTTAAACTTCCCTCTTGGGTTGTACCTTGCACTGAACAATGCTATGGGAAGACTCTCCGGCCAGGGTAGGTTAGTTTCTTGGGACATTTTAAGCATTCTGGCTTTCAGAGGGCCATTCATGCGTTCTACCTTACCACTACTCTGTGGGTGATAGGGTGTGTGGAATGCAAGGGTCACCCCCAGTGCTGCCCAGATCTCTTTGGTTAGCAATGTGGTGAAGGATGTATCCTGGTCACTTTCAATTACTTCAGGGACTCCATATCTGCAGATGATTTCAGTAAGTAGATGCTTTGCCGTGGTTTTCGCAGTGAGATTAGCGACCGGGAAAGCTTCTGGCCATCCTGAAAACATATCCACAATGACCAGTGCGTATTCGTACCGGCCACTCTTTGGCATTTGGATATGGTCAATTTGGATCCTCTGGAAAGGGTACTGTCGTTTGGCCAAATGGTTTGGTGCAGCTTTGATTATTTTCCCTGGATTACATTTAGCGCAGATGGTGCAGGATGTGCAGTAATTTCGTGTCAAGGTAGTGATTCCAGGTGCTTAAAAATATTTATCAAAGAGTTAATGAGGTGCTTAGATAAGTGAGCTGGTCCATGGGCCCACTGAACAACAGCTGGATACATATTCCTGGGTAGACAGAATTTGAGAATGATTGTGTATACTTCATTCTGAAGGGTTGCTCCTTTGTCTTTCCAGCTTTGTTTTTCTTGAGGGGTAGCAGCGGCTTGTTGTTCTCTTAGGAGCTTCAGATCGGTGGGTAGGGTTTGCATAGTGTAAATAGGGATCTTTTTGACAGACACTCTTCTGTCCACTTCCTGATACTGGCGCGCCGCATCCTTAGCGGCCTGGTCGGCTAAATGGTTGCCATGTGCTTCTTATGAGTTTAGTTTCCTGTGGGCCTTTACCTTCAGTATAGCCACCTCTTCTGGAAATAGTAAGGCATCCATTAAATCTTTGATAGATGCACCGTGTTTCACATGAGTACCTGTTGCTGTAAGGAACCCCTTGGTTTTACAGATTAAGCCAAAGTTGTGTGCCACGCCTAGGGCATACCTTGAGTCTGTATAAATATGACACGCTTCCCTTCAGACATCTTGCATGCCACCGTAAAGGCTATTAGTTCGGCTTCTTGTGCTGACTTAGATGAGGGGAGTGAAGATGCTGGGAGTATTTGGTCCTCTGTGGTGACTGCATATCCGGTATGATATTGCCCCTGCTCATCTGCGAATCTAGAACCATCCACAAACAGAGTGTAGTCAGGATCTGGTAGAGCAGCCTCGTGCACTGTTGGGAGATGGGTTGTTTCCATTTTCATCTGTTCAAAACAATCATGGGGGGCGTCCGGGTCCTGTTCTGTAGGAGGGATGTCCTCACATATCTCTGTGTGATATTGAGGGTAACCAACAATTTTGCAATTTATGGTCTTCTTAGTGACCCCCGTCACTGTGAGTTGTTCTTGAGTTGCAGTACTCCATGTCTTGGCCATGGGGCCGAGTTCTTTCCTTGAGAGATCTGGAGACTTGGTGAAAGAGACATGAGGAACAGCCACCTCCCAGTGGTGATATAAATGTGATACCTCCATAGGCAGGTTGACTTGCATAACAATGTTTCCTTTGGAGTCACAGGTCTGTCAGTGTGACATGTATTTCCACCAGGCTGAATAATTCTTCTTCATAGTATGGGTCAGGACCTGGGGTGTCCCTGAACCACAGGGTGCAATGTAAGTGGCTCTTGGGCTGTTCATCATGTGGAATTGTGGGTTCTTCTACTTGAAGTTCAATGTGAACATCAGGATTTATGTCCAGGCTGTACCAGTATTGTGGCACTCCACCCTTGGGAAGTGGCAGAAGAGTGGCCGGATTCAAGGAGTAACATCTTTGTAAGGTAACGTTGTCTGGTAAGAGGAGGGAGGTTTGAAGTCGGAGATGTCTCTGAGATGAGAGATGCTTGGGCTGGACTTGATTCAGGATTCCAGCGATATCATGGGAGCAAGAACTGTCAGTTTATGTCCGAGAACAAAGTCATTAGTCTTGTCCAGTAGGGCACTTGCAGCAAAAACAGCACGCAAACAGGAAGGACCACCCCTGGCCACGGGGTCAAGCATGCAGGAAAAGTACCCAATAGGGCGCTGATGGGAACTGTGGGATTGAATAAGGACCCCTGAAGCATGGCCCATCTTCTCTGAGACGAAGAGTTTGAACGGTAGCTGGTAGTTAGGGAGGCCCAAAGCAGGGGCAGAGGAGATGGCTCTTTGAAGAGCATGGTAACAGGTGCGGGCTGTAGAAGACAATGAAAAAGGTTCCGTCTTTAAAGCATTGTAGAGAGGTTGCATGAATTGAGAAGCCTCAGGGATCCAAGATCTGCAGTATGTGATGAGGCCTAAGAAGGCATGAAGAGCTTGATGGTTAGATGGAAGGGATAGATTTGTAATGGCAAGTATTCTGTTTCTTGTTAGGTGACGGGTGCCATGGGAAAGGCAATGTCCCAAGAAGACCACAGAGGGCCGGCACCACTGGAGTTTAGTCTTGGAGGCTTTACAACTTTCTTCAGCGAGGAAACAAAGATCTTCGGAATTCTGTTCAGCAGTTTGAAAATCATCCGCACAGAGAAGTAAATCATCGACATATTGGAGCAGGACCACATCTGGGTGGGATTTCTGCCAGGGCTCTAGGACAGCTGACATAGCTTTGACAAACTGGGTTGGGGAATTTTGCGCACCTTGAGGCATAACAGTCCAAGTATACTGTTGACGATCGTGTGTGAAAGCAAACAGATATTGACAAGAGGGATCCAAGGGCACGCTGAAAAAGGCATTTGCAAGATCAACCACCGTGAAGTATTTTGCTGGTGGGGGAACTTGTGACAACAGTGTATGTGGCTTAGGGACAACAGCAGTATCACAAGTTGTAACTTCATTAACAGCGCGGAGGTCCTGGACCATACGGTATTGGTCAGGTTGACCTTTATCAGTTTTCTTCTTTACTGGAAATAGGGGGGTGTTACACTGTGATACACACTTGACCAGTGCTCCTTTTGGACAGCAGGCTATCAAGTTGTTTGGAAATGGAGAGGACTTGTGCAGGTTTCTGTGGTCTTTGTGGTGGACTAGCTCCCTTGATTAGTGTAACGACCACAGGTGGGACTCGTAGGTGTCCGTTGTCATCTGGGCCTGTGGACCAAAGCTTAGTTTGAACCCTATCCAGGGCACTGGGGGCTTCTGGGACCCTTGCCTCCTCGGTGGGGGATGTCATGTGTAGTAGTAGGGGCAGAGAGCAAAAGACAGAAGTATCTTTGCGAGAAAGTGGGTTAGTAATTGAACCTGGCCATCAGCAGTAAAGGAGATAGAAGCTTGAAGACGAGACAGAACATCTGCTCCTAAAAGGTTAATTGGACAGGTGGATGAAACAACGAACCGAGAGAGAATGTCAGAACCAACCCGCAAGAACTTAGTCAACGGGTTATTTCTGGGGGTACCATCGACACCTACACAAGAAACATCCGTGTCAGATAGGAAAGATGGGTCAGGCAGGTCTTGTTCTCTGAGAACACTGCGGGCTGCACCTGTGTCAACTAGAAAGGTAGTAGGATGACCCTCAACTGGAAGGACAACTGTAGCTAGGGGTCCCCCTTGTCCCCTGTAGACACTGCCATAACAGGGGTGTTAGACACAGGTTTGCCGGTAACCTATTGTACGAGGTCTAGATGAGATTGATCAGGGCCAGTGTAATGACGTGTTGGTGTGGTGGAGTGGCTGGCCTGATGGGTTTTGACGTGTAGGGCGATAACGACTCGGTGCTGGGTATTCGTCTTGTTGGAAATCATCTGTATCGTAACTATCAGGGGAAGGGTGAGGATAGCTCCGTGGTGGGGGGTGAGTATTAGATTGAGAGGGTTGGTAGACAGCTTGGGTGTATTCCTGAGGAGGGTAATACGATGCATGTGCCTGAGGATATACCTGTGGTGGGTAATCTGTGTTGTGACCGCCATACGTTGCCACAGGGGCACTGGGGTACATAGGGGTCTAATGGTCGGCTGTCTAGGCACCCTGCAATGTGGGCATTCTCTTCGGAAATGGCCTGGGTAGTTACAATTAAAGCATGCTCTGGACTGAGGTCTAGGTGCCATGTGCTGTCCCTGCGCAGCTGGCAGGGTGGGTAGCGTGGGATAACCTGGAGGCACCTGGGCGGGTCTGGTGGCAGGGCTGTAAATAGAAAACATAAGAGGATTACTTTTCCTTTGGGGCGGCTGTAGAGCAGATTCCAAGCCCTTGGCAACTAGTAAGAGTGTCCAAAGGAATAATTCTGTATTCAGGGCAAGAGAGCACTAAGCCTTTCCTGATGGCT